GGTTCTTTTGCGTCAAGAGCAAGTGCTACAAAACATTGCTAAACTTTCCATTTTTGTCTGACTGAAATTAGTACAGTAAAGTCATTTGAGATGAAACGATTCCGTATACATGTATTCTGTATAACATTTACATTAAATATGTCCCGATAGATGCTGCTACAAGTGAGTGAGTGACTGAGTGTCATCGTCGCAGGCAGTAGTAAACAGGAATGACAACGGAAGAGAACGGTGCATTCCAGAACCTGGGCCATGCAATAAACCTGCTTCCAATTGACCCTGCCTTGTCTCAGTGTACCGTCTCGTGTAGGGTAACCATCTTCTGTGGTCTGTTAAACCTCTCCTGATTTTCATTTCTCCTGTCCCGCTTTAAGTTTCACTTTTCTTGGAGTACAGTATATTTCTTGTCTACATGCTACCTCTCTTGCCTTACATTAAACCTCTTTTGCCTTACATTAAACCTCTTTTGTCTTACATTAAACCTCTTTTGGCTAACATTAAACCTCTCTTGCCTTACATTAAACCTCTCTTGCCTTACATTAAACCTCTTTTGCCTTAGATTAAACCTCTCTTGGCTAACATTAAACCTCTCTTGCCTTACATTAAACCTCTTTTGCCTTACATTAAACCTCTCTTGGCTAACATTAAACCTTTCTTGCCTTACATTAAACCTTTCTTGCCTTACTTTAAACCTCTCTAGCCTTACATTAAACCGCTCTTGCCTTACATTAAACCACTCTTGCCTTACATTAAAGTTTGCTTACCTTACATAAAGGTCAGTGACACATGGAACTAAAATCCTTCACAGAAGAAGCATTTGCAAATTAACCAATTCCATCTATTTTGTATTTGTACTATTTGTATTTGGCTTTAAATGTTGCGTATTTCAACACCATCTCAAGACAAAACGCTTATCATCGAAACATATTACAAACTAGTGTTAAACAAATAAAGTCGGTGTGGTCCCAATAACAGCACCACGACTGGCATCCGTAAAGTTGCTGCAAGGAAATAGATTTGACGGCCTCTTTATTTGCACGTTTTCGGTGCAGAGTTCCCGATTGCTCGATCAATCTGTCGTACTATCGGCACTAAAACACCAATCCCTCTTCTCTCCGGTTGTCAGTTACAGGAATTACAATCACCAAAAATAGGACCCCTCACACATACAGAAGGAGACTCGGCAAGTCTAGATTCATTTTGCTTGTTATCTGCTCCCTAATGACAATTGAGCACGAAAACGAAGCGCCTCCGATTACAGCCCGTGAGATGGAATACATTACTGGCCGTGCGGGATGTATTGGAGGCAGTCAATGGGGCACACATACCGATCACACTCCACGGAACAGAGAACTCCTCATGAACGGACCGACTTTCTGGAGTTTAAAGCTGTGGGGTCCTTGTCTGTCCACGTCCGATACACCGTAACTCGACTGGGATGAGTGGAGATATCCGATACTGAGGTCACTTCGTCTTGTTTGAGAAGTCAACTGAGCTTCAGATCGGGTTTATTTGTTCCCAAGCCACAGCCCCATAGACAAAATGTGATGAGTAGGGAAATAAAATGTTCGCAGATGATACACTGACATAAATTTAAGATGAACTCAGCTTCTACAATATGGTCTTAGATGGGCATTTAGAAGTTGGAAGAACATGAAGAAAGGAACGTTTATGGATAACTTCTCCTTGTCTGTAACATTTCAAGGCTACTTCTTGCCCCTTCATCTTTTAAAGTTTCATCCCCTCATCTTCCACAAAATATACTATTCAAAAGAAGTTAAGGATCATCCGATCCGACATCTTTCATATTACAGAAGACTACGTTTATAACGAATACGCTTACAACGAACTGACGGATATGACGAACTGTTTTTGGTTCCCGTCCATTTGCTGTTTATATGTTGTATATATGCATATTCCGGACTACGGTTGTAACGATCTAAAATAAGTGGTTCCTTTGAACTCACTATAACCGAAGTTTACTGTACTATAGTTAATCTGACTTAAGCAGATTTCATTGTTTTATACCTCTGATGTAATCGTCAACATTTGTCAAGGTGTTATTGTGTCAAACTGTTATTTTATTGTCTGGTGAATTGTCAAATTGAAGGTGAGGTGAAGTGAAATGGGATGTAAGTCGCGCTCAAGATAAGCGACGTGTGCGTGCGTGCGTGCATGTGTTACAGCTCGGAATAATACTGCTTATTTAGTGCTAGCCAACTGAGAAACCATGCCGCAGTTTAACATGAATATCCAACTCGGACAGTTTTCTGACTCCGAGCCGACCAGTCCTTGTTTTAGCCCCTTAATGCCGAGCGCCAGACAGGGTAACAACAAGTACCATCTTTAAACGTCTTTTGGTATGAGGCGGCCAGGCATCGAACCCCGGACCTTCCGCTCTCCGGGCGGACGCTCTACCACTAAACCACTGAGGCGGTCACATCACAAAGTGAGTGTGTGGGTCTGGATTAACGCAGCTTTTAAGAATATTTCAGTTGCTTTTACGGATTGCGTGTTGTGGGAGAAAAGCCGGAAGTGATGCCCACGAGCATCAAAATGGGGCGACAAAACTAGACACATAATCAGGGAGCACAGGGATTCGAAACATTGATCATAAGTACACCTGTGGCACGCGCCTTTGCGTTGACTTACCAATCCTACCATTAAATGAACGAACACGATGAACGAAATACACGTAATGATGATGGATAATATACCTTCAACCGCGATGATTAAAGAAATCATTATCGAGACATTTGATAGAGGCAGTGATAGTGATATCGACTTTACATCGAAGCCTTAAAAACATATTTCAGATCTATGTCGGATTATGTTAGGTGAAAGCCCACTGTGACACAGTTTTCTGACTCCGAGCCGACCAGTCCTTGTTTTATCCCCTTATGCCTAGCGCCGGTCAGGGTAACAAGTAACATCTGTTGACGTCTTTTGGTTTGTTTGTTGTGTAACGCCGCACTCAGCAATATTCCAGCTATTTGACAGCGGTCCTTTTGGTATGACGTGGCTGCGAATCGAACCGCCGACCTTCCGCTCTCCGGGCAGACGCTCTATCAACCAGACCACGGAAACTGCGTTAAATTGAATATATGGTCAATTTCTTCAAATAACATATTTACTTCATCTAATGGTCTGACAATGTTCCTAATTTCCTAAAAAGCCCACCCTGTAAAAATACCTGCTTTGTCAGAAAACTTGGGACGGATAATTGTGTGGCAAGATAAGTCAAATACCCACCATTTCCCTTTTCCACGTTCGGGTCGACATATTTCTGTAGACCGGGACTCAAGGCATTCAAGGAATGAGGCAAGTTGGGAGGCCGTATCGGCCTGAATAGGTCCTCCTAGGAATGTAGTGACAACACATAAATACTGAGTTAATGGGTCTTGAACACTGACCTCAATGCATAACCATTTGTTAAGAGATTAGCATAGATGTTACAAGGCCGAATGCACCGTCATGAACTACAGCCATTGCCTAATGGTCCACACAGTGAGCTCATTATTGCCTTTGCTAATTGTAACATATATTTGCAATTCAATTCGCTGATTGAAGTCAATACCTTGGATTGCCTGAAATCTGTGAGGGATCAAGTTAAATATTGACCAGACTTTGGTCTCTATAATGACAATTTTTCAGACATGAGAAAACATATTTTAAACAGCATGTGGACCAGCTGAAGCTGTTTTATTAGTTGTGTTTTTGGTAAACATTTCAATGAAATAATGAACCTTTCTGAAATGAGATTGCATAAAAAAGGTTGTCCAGAAACTGTCTCCCCTTCACAGCTTTTATGTAGACTTTTTGACAAAAAGCTTCTTTAATATCTTTTACATTTTCTATCACTTTATCCTAAGCATCAACCAAGCCAGCGAGTCTGACACCTGTAGTTGCCTCTTACAGGCATGGTTCTTAAAGACCAGCTTGGAAAGTCAGGGGCCCAGTTTGAGTGACAACACAGAAACAGGGTGAGTGAGTGAGTCAATATTGCTTCACTTCAATTCTTAGAATTTGTATGTTGTATAACGCCAATCAGCAATATGATGGCGCCCTGTAACAAAGTGTCTGGACCAAGACAATCCTGTGATTGATATCGTGAGCAATGATCCACAACGTCAGGGTAGGATGACACACAATCAATCAAGTCACTTATCCTGATCACCTGATCCATTGCCTCCTATGTCCAGTGTAGGTTGCTGGGGACCAATTCTAACCCAGAATCCCACTGGGGAAAAGTGAGTGAGTGACTGAGTTTGGTTTAACGCCGCTTTTTACATTATTCCAGTTATATCACGGTGTGTCAGCTTAATGTGGGAGGAAAGCCCGAAGTGATGCAGGTCTCAGATGTTTACCACTTCGTTGAAACCCACGAGCACGGTTATGGTGCTGACAAACCTAGAAACATAATTGGGGCGAACAGGGATTCGAACCCACTATCATAGGTTTCTGGCGTGTCCAAGGGACGCAACTCTGCACATCGAATCGCGGCGCCTTAGACGACTGGGCCATCCGTGCCACCCGTGCCCCCCCCCACTGGGGAAAAGACAGATTGTTGGTCAAAACAATTAGGCAAGCCTTCATAGAGTGAAAGGCAATATCCCCCCATAGGAATAGGGTTAGGGTAGTCCTCTGCAACCTATGCTTGTCATAAGACGCGACTTACCGGTAAAGAATCAGTTGGTCAGACTTGGAGACACCGTTCACTTTATGTACGGGTATTAATATCCATGATGGAGAGGGGTCTTGGTCAAATTATCAATCACTGGATTGTCTGGTCCAGATTTGATTATTTACAGGCCACTGCTGAAATATTGTTGAGTACTGCATTAAACAAACAAAATGTAAAATGCATCCATTTGGCTTCATGCTTGATTTGACAACTGGCATTTTGATTCATAATTAAGAAGTATTTGTAAAATTCTCTCAAGTAGCATGCTACTTGGTCTCTAATGAGCACAAGTGATGACAAAACAAAACAGAAAAACCAATTCATCAATATTGTATTTTATTTTTTTTATAAGAAGACAGAATTCGAAATGTCCGCACAGAGCACCATACAAGCTACGATACATTGAGAAAGTGACATGATATTTACAATGAGACGACCACCATGCAATGATGGTCTTCAGTGATATTGACAACATTAATGTCCACTCAACAGAGTGGACTGAGTGAAACATTACATATAGCAGTTAAGTGTCAATTACAAATTTATGAAATGTATTTGTAGTGAGAAGGGTATTCTACTTCCCGAAAAGTTATAATTCTTCACAAAAACGAAGTTTTACTTTCCAGCTGAAACAAAACTGGGTTTAAACCACACTGGAATATTGAATTTGAATCTGGGAGTCATTGTGACAAAGAATCAAAGTATATCATACATAAATAACGCAAATTCAACTTTCATCATTTTGAGGGTTCCAATCATAAGATTGTAAGTATTAAGATCTCGACAAATCTCATGGGCAAGAACATGACATTAAAACCCATTTAGTCAAAACATTTACTGCCATCATCACATACATCAAAATGATTCATTAACTTGTGTTACGTATTGTCCGCACCATTGTTCATGAAGCACTTCAACTGATGTATTGTGCATTCAAAACAAACCACAATACAGTAAGACAACAGTTTCGGCTGTGTGAAGGATTAAAAACGGAAAACGAACATATAATTTTGGCAAAAATGTACATTTTTAGATAAACCCATTTGTTTTACAGGACTTAAAAATATCCTCACCCTAAAGACAATATTTCTTAAAGGGGGGGGCACTATGCTTTGACAAGGTTGCAAATTGCAGTGAGTAAGAAACAGCAATTTTAAGTTTGCTAACCTTAAGTTTTATGATCAAGTTCAGCCTGTTGCAGGTTCTCTATTTAAATAATGCCCAATTTCATATAAGACATGTATAACATTTGATGGACCTTGACTTTAAGTGAGTCTTGTCCCTCTTAAAACCATACAACATTGTACATCAACTAATTCTCAGCATCACTGATGCAATACATGTAGTAAGAGAAAGTGGGTATCTGAAATAGACCCATCCTCATGAATCTGGGGTATTGTATCTCCCAACCATTAAGATAAATACCCTGGACCCATTCGCTACCATAGTTTCGCCTTGATCCCAATCTGACCAGCACAATGCTAAACCTTTCCGTCCTATCAACTCTCATGAGCAAGAGTAATTTTGTCCTAAGTTAAGTGAGTTTGATTTTATGCTGCTTTTAGCAATATTCCAGCAATATCACGGCGGGGGACACCAGAAATGGCTATGTTAAGAGACAGGGGCGACTGAGGTGGTGATATCACTTAAGAAACGAAGCTATGGTGGCGAAAGGGTCCTGGATATTTATCACAATAGTATAGAAATAAAATACCTTGGATAAACTATGACTTTTACACTATAAACATCAAAGAAAAGTTGACCAGAGACCACGACGGTTCCCACTTCTATTAAGCAACAACACAAATATATGAAAATAAGAAAATGACTATTTTACATAACAATGGTAAAGAATGTATATACATGTGAGTCACATGATGTGACAGCAATGTTTTCATTGTTACTAGGGGCTTATTTACTTTCCTTCAGCTTACCCTTTGAAAATCTTCTCTTACGGACAATACATAAATGCTATATTTTCAAAATATTTGCACCAAAAAGTTATCACTGATACATTGTAAGTGATGAATTAATGCAAATAGATAAAAAATGGAAATGATTAACTGGTATGTTTTATAATACAATGTTTGATTATCTTGAATAATTGCTAGTGTAAAATCAACATTTTGAGGAAATATTCCAATGAAACACAAATGTAAAGGAAGGATTATTTCCTTCATAAGTCATCATTATTTCATACATCAACTTAAATATGATGTAAGGCCACAATAGACTAAGAATTAGTTCCTCGGAAACACAGCTTTCTTCCTTCCTAAAAACAATGTTTGAATGTTTGGTAGGGATTATATTTAAGCTAAATACCGAAAATGACCTTTGGTTTCTCACTCATCAGATTGCCTAGAAATGGCTTGTAAGTACTGTGTTGGGCATATCAGTGAGTCAGTGAGTGAGTGAGTGAGTGAGTATGGTTATACGCCGCTTTTAGCAATATTCCAGAAATATCACAGCGGGGGACACCAGAAATGGGCTTCACACATTGTACCCATGTCAGGAATCGAAACTGGGTCTTCGGCATGACGAGCGAATGCTTAACCACTAGGCTACCCGACCGCCCTGTTGGGCATATCAAACTGGAGGATTAGTAATATATGTATTCACTAATATTTGATTGGATGACAGGACATAATATTTTTTCGGGTGAAAACAGCACTTCTTTAAATGCTTAAAAACATCTTTTGGTTTTATTTATAAAGTTATGATGGAATTAAAACATTGTCCTCTGTATCTGTATTTGTGAATATATCCGGAGAATAAAACAAAACAATTTGGAGTGGCTTATCTATGACATGGGGCATGGAAATGTATTAAGTTTGATGTAGAAACATTGAAGTGTACACATTTAGATGAAAAGATTTGACGGATGTTGAGATTCATCATTTGGAGGGTGGCGGCACCTGAGGTTGTTGTTCCGACCCGCTTTCTGAAAAACAGAAGGAAAAAACAAAATTTACCATCAAAGTATGTTTGATTTCCGAAAAGAAAACCCATAACACAATCACCATGACAACTGTGACAGCAATACCAACATTTCATCCCAAAATGGAAAATGAGAAATGGAAAAGTGATTATGGTAAGGAAAAACAAAATAATAAAGTGCAAATATAGTTTTAAGCCAATTGATCACCAAGACAACAAAATAAAAAAAAAACCTGCCAGTTGCAAACATGACCTCAGGTATGTTTATAAGGTATAAAATCACATAAGGTGACATACAGTTGATCACTGAAACAATAATATCAAGTAAGTGCCAGTTGCAAACATGTGCTCAGGCATGTTTTTAAGGTATCAAATCAGATAAAGTGATATTTCAGTTGATCACTGAGACAAAAAAAAAGACAAAAAAAAGCCAGTTGCAAACATATGCTATGATATGTTTTTAAGGTATCAAATCAGATAAAGTGATATTTCAGTTGATCACTGAGACAAAAAAAAGACAAAAAAAGCCAGTTGCAAACATATGCTATGGTATGTTCTTAAGGTATCAAATCTGACTAGGTGACATTTGAACCTGCTACAAATCATTTTAACCCTCCATACATGTGTATGTGATTATATGGCTGTGCTTCATTAAATTACTTGTAATAAGCCCAGACCAAGAACAGATACACAGTGAAACCTTGCTACTCCAGAAACCCACCTTATGAAGATTACTGCTCGGAACACGCAAATAAATATTTAGTTTACCACATAGCCATGATGTGCCAATTCAGAACTTGTTAATCCGAGCAATTTCTGGGAAAAGAACATCAAGATTTACGAGGTTTCGCCGTAGTTTTCAAACAGAACATCAGGATTTACGAGGTTTCACCATAGTTTTCAAACAGAACATCAGGATTTACAAGGTTTCAACGTAGGTTTCAAACAGAACATCGGGATTTACGAGATTCCACCGTAGTTTTCAAACAGAACATCAGGATTTACGAGGTTTCACCATAGTTTTCAAACAGAACATCAGGATTTACATGGTTTCAACGTAGGTTTTAAACAGAACATCAGGATTTACGAGGTTTCATCGTAGTTTTCTAACAAAACATCAGGATTTACGAGGTTTCACTGTAGGTTTCAAACAGAACATCAGCTTACAAAGAAGCTGTTCAACAATAACACAATGGTGACAAGGTCTTCAAAGATATGATTACACTGTATCACTTGAATATTCTTGAAAGACGATGCTAATATCCTTACGAGCCTGTCAGTATCAAGGAACGTGGATGAAACAGTACCACTGTTAAAGTGTTTTGGCCTAAGCATTATCTGCTGTGCTCTGTAGTGTGATGCAGACACATGTACAATTTATTTGTTTCGAAAACATGAGTCCACTGTTATAATATTAAACCCTGATAGCCAGTGTTCGTGTCATTTCATTTGTATGGTTGACATGCAAATGTACCGTATTTTCTTGAGTATAGTGCGCACCCATGTATAATGCACACCCCCCTCTAGCGGATTCAATATTTTGGAAAAAGAAAATTCGAATACCAAGCGCAGAAAAAAAATTACACCGTACCCCTTTAGCGAAGTCCGGCTAACGAACGGGTGATGAGAAACTTGGTCAGTACAAGTTGAAATTTGAGATAAAAAATCATCAGACATGTTGATTTACCGTTTAAATTGTATTTTTTGTTCTGCTAGGCATTGTTTTATATCCAGGGATTAAGATTACCATGTGTATTTTATCATAAACTAAGCCGGACACAGCAATCAGCTGTACACACATTTTCTTGGAATCTACTGGTGATTCAGTCAAGACAAACCCAATGATATAACTTTACAAGATTTTAATGCGAGGATCGGCAACAATTGTATCTGAAACTATTTTTTTATCAGGAATAATTTATTCCAATATCTTGTTAATTTAGATGCAGCTTTTACTAAACATATTTAAAATAATAATAACCCTAACCAAAGCAGCTGATCGCTATTGCAGGGTATTATTTTTTACAAGGAACCAGTCTGACCAGCAACCGTCAAGGCTCCCGTGCATGTGATCGCGTGATCGCGAGAATTACGTGTTGACATAGAATCTTCCAACAAAAACAAATATGACTTTTAACGAGTCACAGTATGGCATTTATGATATATGTATCCATTTTCTGTCAACTAAAGTTTGTTTCAAGGCGTCAATAGCGGTAATCTGACCGTGGTTGCTGTTAATAACGGTGAGTTGTGCGATCTTCCGATCGCTTCACACACGATTTCGCCGAAATTAATTAAAACAATATTAAAAGGAATTTTGAATAAAATTAATAAAATAAGTTACAAACATAAGTCCAGATATACAAAGAACACTTTTTATAGCCAGACAGTGTAATTACATGACTAATTTGCGTACTTCAGTATGGATTTTTTGACATGGTATTTCCGGTGTTACGCGCTCACGGTAATGTCTTTCCATGGGGGAAAAAACATCAAAACTCATTAATTCGTGTATAATGCACAGATGTGTTTTTTTGAAAAAAAGTGTGCACTATACAAGAAAATACGGTAAGTATGACAATAACTGTCATTCTCCATTTGTGATAGAGTAGTATCTTTCAGAGAAACCACCAGAAAAAAGGACTGACTGGGACAAACAGAAATCGCCAAGGTTTTGGTTCTCCAGAGAAAAAGACAGAAATACATCAGAAATATAAGTTGTACATTGAAACCAGTGCAGGTGTGGATGTGGTTGTGGACATGACACTTGCAGAAACAGGATAACATGATAAATATTTTGTAAGCAAAAGAGCATGCACCCCAAATAAGTTGCCACTGAATGTAAGAACCTATTCTAGTACATGGTCAAAAGCTGAAGATATTTACAGCAATAGTCTGTGAGACCTAGCACTAGGAACAGATCAATCCAACACTAGTCATATGAAACTGTGCTACCGATGTGTTGCTGTGTGAAACTAAAAGCGACACCACGTTAATGATTATTCTACTTTCAATATTGAGAACAAGTTTATTAAGCTCATCCACAAACTTTAGTACCGATCACAAAACCTTGGGAACCAAATAGTTTCAAATTCACTGACTACATTTTCCATAACTCATATCAATGCCCAGTGCCGTGCTTATGAATGCATATTGTTTAATTCCCCACTGAGCACAGTGGAGCACACTAGACCAGTGGTGTCAGGCACTTCAGTTTGCTATGAAGGGTTGCATCCCCTCACACAGATTCAGTTAGAATCCAAGACTTGACCAGCTCTGAAGAACGGTATTTCTGTTTCACAAAATTGGTCAATGAGGAAGATATGTGTTGACCTTGACCAGGTAAATGAGTGGTCAATGGTGAGATCAACAATATTAACAGCTACACCGATTCACTGACAACCCAATAACTTCCTCCGTAGTGTAGTAGAGAGAGTGTCTGCCTGGAGAGTGGAAAGTTGTGAGTAAGTGAGTGAGTGAGTTGGTTTAACGCCGCTTTTAACAGTATTCCAGTTAATTCGCGGTGTGTCAGCTTACCGGTAATGTGGGAGGAAAGCCGGAAGTGATGCAGGTCTCAGACGTTTACCACTTCGGTGAAACCCACGAGCACGGGTATGGTACTGACAAACCTAGAAACATAATCAGGGCAAACCGGGACTCGAACCCACAATCATAGGTTTCTGGCGTGCCTAAGGGACGCAACTCTGCACAGGGAATCGCAACAACTGGGCCACCCGTGCCCCCTGAAAGTTGGTTGTGAAAAGATGGAACTTGTTATCCTGCCTGGTGCTTGGCATTAATGGGATAAGAGAAGGACTGGTTGGATTGGAGCCAGTATACTGTGTCTAGTAGGGTATCCATGTTAAACTGCAGCATGGTAACTGAGTGAGATAGCGCTATAAACCTGGCATATAGCCAGACTGTTACCAGCAGCCACACACACACAAATGCATGTTTGATAAGAGACATATTCTTGAATGCAACACTAAACTACATTGCACTCATCCACTGAAAGCGAGACCAAGGCTGAGAGTTGGTCTGCTCATATGTTCAGCTGTCCAACTGGCAGAGTACCAACATTCTTCAGCCACCAGTATGGTCACCTGACTCCTCAGAAGTGAGTGGTTCAGCTCGGTTTTTCCCATACTTTTAGCATTATTTCAGAAGTAAGTGAGTGAGGTGTTTCGCCGCTTTTCGCAAATTCCAGCACTATCCCCGCAGGGGACACCAGAAATGGGCTTCACACATTGTACCCATTGTAGGGAATCGAACTCGGGCCTTTGGCGTGACGAGCTAACACTTTAACCAACAGGCTATCCCAATCAGAAAGTGACACTAAGGTGGTCTTCACAGTCTTTGTGATGATCCAACACTTAAACAACTAGGCCACCCAACCACCCCTCTTTAGCTCAAAATGAAGAACTATCAAACTATTCTGCATGTTTGCAAAGAATACAATTACACAAAGTTCAACAATAAAAGCAATTAGATAAACAAAACTGCATCTGCAACAACAAACACTGCTGTCAACAAACATTGGCCACAAACCTTCGGACATTGCATTATGGTGTTTGTTCATATGATTGGTAAATACACTGCATGTAAAACAATGTGAAATCACATGTACCATTGTGTGTAGCGTGCAGTCCAACAACACTGATGGAAATGTTTGACCCGACTCTCACAAAGATTGCTGATCCTGTACATTGCTCATACTCAGAATTGCGTTTAATCCTATCGTAGATGTAGAATTAAGCCATATTCTATCTAAACAATTCAACAAAAATAAGCCACATTCTTCAACAATTCTTGAAATTTTAAGCCATAATCTATCATAAGACAATCAATGTAGAATTGAATTATATTCTATCATAATTCATCGAGAATATGCTATCTAGTTAATTTGTCATAAAAAAAATGACTTAAAGCATCAAAGTCAAATGCTTGACTATTCATGCTGTAATTACAGCATTAAGACTACTTTTAATAATATATTTCTAAATACCTTTTAAGACATTTTGGGTTTTTGGATAATCACCAGTTGCCAGGATATAGTCCAGATGCTCTCGTTACAGAACACCACACAACACAGTAATATGTACTTGAAGCCAAACTGTTTTGCATTATTCGGAAAGCTTATACAAATATCCCTGCTACTACTAAACAATATCTTCATCAAAATTAAAATTTGGGATTTCTTGTTTTCCAAAATCAAGGGATATTTAAACTTTAAATCATTAAATTGCATTCAATTCAATAATGTCAAACTAGGCATTAAATCCTCTTCTCTATATTGGTCCTGTTATCAGTAAAATACAAATCACCTTACAAAGCCATAACATTAGTTATCACTAAAGTAGCATGAATTGGGAAATGTTTAATTCCAGTTCTGGATTATATAATACTGACATTTGCTGCAGACTTGGTCTGAATATCGGCCTCTACGCAGGTCTGGGTAGATCTCTGTCTACATGTATAGAACAGGAAAGTAAATACAATGATTCTTTTCGAAAGATTCAGGGTCAAACTTTTCCAGCAGCATCCATCACCATCAACAAAAATGTAGCCAGGACTCGACTGACGGACAACATGGAAAAGTGCAAGGTTAATAACTCACCGCCATTTTAGAGACTTATGTCTCAATTGAGTTTGAACGATGTTAGTTCACCTAAAAAATAGATCACGTATTCAACTTGGACAGAATAGTTCCAGCATTCATAGGATCATTTCACCATGAACTCTGCAGCTCAAGAGAGAAAATGAAAGCTGTTTCATGTAAGAGTGTCATGAGACATCGATGAACATGTTTTGCAATTGTTTGCCTTATGATTGTACTATGTCAATAGGAATTTTTAAAAACCAATGGCATGGGGTGTACAATATTCTAGATCAGTTACAAATAAAACATAAAACTCAGTTTTTCCAGTCAAATATAAAACCTTATTATGACATCTTCAGATTAGAGTTACTCCCCTTTGGTTTGAGTAGCGACAAGGAGGAAAATGGCCAACTTTCACTTATCAGTAATACTTTATTAATTTCTATTAAATGGATGAATATAATTATTAAGCCTTAAAGTTTGTTTAATACAACTGAAATAGATGACAACTATATCAATATCAAAGTGTGGGGTACAACTGCAACACTATCGCAATAGTGAAAATAATCCCAACAGTCTCCCCAAGTTTCAAGCCTCAATCAGCAATATTACAGTTGCAGTATTGCCCTTAGGGTATGTTGACACAATACCCCACTCAGCCCTCGAAACTCCGCTAGCCCGCTAGCCCGAGACTACTAAATTGTGCTGAGTGAATATGCAATGATGGTAGTCCTCATTGATAAGCATCTTCCTGAGACAAGGGAGTTAACTGTCTATAAAAGTCCTCCCTTGCCAAACTAGGCTGGAATTATGGAGTTATATTTTGGCTGGACTAACACGTTTATGCATAGTCCAATCAAAATTGCAAAACGAAATCAACATCCTGTTCATAAACTGCCATGCAGATTTTGGTTGATTGCAGGATTTGCAATGCATGTGTAACGTCAACTTAGCGTCAAGATATTTTCCAAATCTTGTCATATCTTTAAAGAAGGTGCTCACATGATTTGATGCACTATGCAAAATAAGACCTGTTTTATTACAATATAGATCTTGATTATCGATCAGACTGTCTTCACTGGGCCCGCTATTTTGTTTGAAGCAAATGTGATATCAGAGATGGCATCTGATTAGTCAATAGGAGGGACTCTTAATAGCCACTGGTGGTGCTACAATCAAGCCCAGAAATTCCAGCCTAGTTCGGCAAGGGTGGAAACTGGACTTTACAGTCAGTTAACTCTCTTGCCTTGGGAAGATGATTGACTAGAAGCATTTGTGAACTATAATTCTGAAACTGTTCTCAATGCTTCAATTTTGCTACAGCAAAACTGACTGCAAAGGTAGACAGTAAACATTTTTATAGTTCAAGCAGGACTACCTACCAACTCTGAGGACTAGTGAAGTAAGGTTACCTCTGGACTAGTCTTAAAAAAGACCAATTTCTAAGAATGTCACTGATGCTCATTCAAGTTGCTTCTTAATGACCTAAAGCATGAAAATTCAAAAGCCTGGCTATCTATACTCTAATTACATCATTAAGACTACCTTAAAAACTTATCTCAGAAACGTTCAGAAACTACAGGGTGTACAAAATATCTACAAGATTATATAACTTTCTACTTTCGGAACTTGTTTTAGTTCATTTTGGCCATACAGAAATTAGACAAGCTGGTTTGAATGATTCACTCACTCATACTGAGAACCTCTAAGCCTCAATGATATTCAGCAGATAAGAAAGTTCTCCTGACATTAACTATAGATTGAGTGAGTGAGTCGGGTTTGATGCCGCTTTTAACAGTATTCCAGTTATATCACGGTCTGTCAGCTTAATATGGGAGGAAAGCTCGAAGTGACGTTTACCACTTCGGTGAAATCCACGACACGGGTATGGTGCTGACAAACCTAGAAACATAATTGAGGCGATCTGGGATTCGAACCCACAATCATAGGTTTCTGGCATGCCCAAGGGACGCAACTCTGCACAGCGAATCGCGGCTCCTAAGACGACTGGGCCACCCGAGCCCCCTGAACTACTATGGAGATGTCCTCAGATGTTAGAGAAAGTTATTCTTTCATATTACTATAGTTAATCTGTCATGTGAAATTAACTGTAGTAATATCAAACAAATCGCAGGTCCCTTAACCTTGAGTAGCATATGTTATGTGTATGTACATGTTTGCAATATAAATATTCATATCAGGACCTGACAAGTCTGTGATATTGTAAGCACCAATCCATGCCATGTGGGTCGATGGCATGCATCAACCAAGTCACCAAAACCGACCACACCATTTAGTGACCGCTTACGACCAGCATGGGTTGCTGGGGACCGTGGAATCCCACACGGGTGAAAAAAAATAAACACAAAAAGTCTGAATCATACATGTCATATGTTCCTAACGTCACTTCCCGATCAAATATGGAACAACTCCGAAAAAGTAGAAATTCAGAATTGTAACAAATGCAACAAGTCACTTCTAGTTTCATGACCATTCTGAAACAGGGACACTCATATCTCCATTCAGAAACCAAGCTTACTCACAGCCTTCAAAATTCACACTAGTCCGCTTGCCCGAGACTACAAAGTTTTAAAGAGGACAAGTAAAATTCAAATGACGGTAGTCTTCATTCATTAGCTGCATTTGAGAGCCATAATTCTGAATCAGTTCTCAATGCTTCAATTTCCCTACAAGTTAGAACTGAACAAAACTGACAGTTCAAGCAGGAATAGCTACAATCTCATGAATTTCTGAGGCTGAACTCACTCCTCAAAAGCTTCTAACAGCACAAACATTCAGTTCTGACTCAAAAACACGAAGAGGTTGATATTCATTCACATCCATTATAATATCCAAACAAAGATTAGAATGGTAAATATGGATATATATGATTAAATAATGCATTAATATTTTCCACAAGCAAAGTTTTCTAGACCCAGAGTCCTTCTGAAAACTACACTGGGTAAGAAAGTCTCAAGAACTCCAAGTGCTGTGTTAAATATTTCTAGTCTTGGGGAGGGAGGGAGGGACAGGACATAGGGTTGGGTCCGGGTTCAAGAGGGGAAGAAGTGTTTTGTTGCTTGTGGAGCAGTACCAATCCCATGGAATTTCTAAATAGTTAAGCAGAGACAAAGCCAGAATGGCTTCAGCCAGCCAATGAGGAAAATCTTGGCGGGATCGTTCTACTTTTAGTTCAATTCAACACTTGACATTAATTGCAAGAAGTTTTAATTTAGCATTCTAATCTTCACATGGCATGGGCGAAATAATGACTTCATAGGTGTATTACAAGCATACCATGCAGAGCAAGAATAATTCTTTACTAAAGTCAATGAAGAAGAAATCAAGATTCTTAAAACAACTTGAAAAAGGCGAAGCAAAGAAGCAAAATGAATACATCTGGATTTGTGTTGATGAATTTGAATAACAAATATTCATTTCCATGAAATTTTGTTTCTTAATATTCGATATCAAAGGATCAAAAGATGTTTTAAGATGCTACTTTAAAAGGAAGTTTCGTATTTTTTTCTCTATCTGTTTAATGAATGAAATCATTGTTGCTGGCAATGTTTGATTGGCTGATCCAGATGTATTTTGAAACAAGACAACGGAAGATTGATAAGCTTCCTACTTACCAGGTGCGCTACCTGGCTGATTCATAGCTCGGCCGGAAGCGGGAAGCGGAGTGCTCTGGGGTGGCATGCCATGACCCGGGGTAGGGTACTGACTAGCTTGAGGTGGAGGGTAAGGCTGGCCGGCCTGAGGGGGGTAAGGCCCAGCTTGGTTGAAGTTCGGGTAGGGTCCCTGGGGGTGGGGTGGATACTGTTGCGACTGCTGTGGCTGCTGAGGGTAAGGTGCTTGGTTTTGTGAGTGAGGAGGCGGATATGATGGCTGACCTTGCGAGTGTGGCTGGAAGGACCCTGGTTGTTGCTGTTGCTGTTGCTGTTGTTGCGGTGGCTGTTGCTGTCCTTGGTGGTAAGGCGCCATCTGTCCGGGGTTGGGCTGCTGGTAGGGCTGAGGTGGCGGGCCCTGGTGGCCTGGCTGTGGGTAGTTCTGTTGGGGCTGTCCCTGGGGTCCTGGCGACTGGGTGGAGAACTGCTGTGGAGCAGGAGAAGGGGTGGAGTAGGGTTGCTGCTGAGCCGGCCCCGTCATCTGCTGGTAGGGGGACTGTCCAGGGGGCTGACTCGGGGGTTGATGCACTGGCGCTGCCGAAGCCTGAGGTCCCTGGGGGTGGGGTGATTGAGTCTGTGGCGGGGTGGGGGTTAACTGCTGAGGCGTAGCAGGCTGGGAGGAGGACTGGGGAGGAGCAGGCGAGCCCGAGGACACCTGATGAGCCTGTTGTACCTGTGGCCCCTGGGGAGGCATAGGTGACCCATGCATGGGGTAGTTACCCTGACCCACAGCAGCTGCAAGGGTGGGGTTCTGCACTGCGGCATTAGCTCCACTGGTGGAACCAGCACCTGCAAATGAGGACCCAATTTGTAAAAACATGGCATCACCATCTTTTTCAAATTATTGTTAGATATATCCAGTATTTTTTCATCTAAAGCATTGCTATGTTATGTAAGAGATATTACACGGCAGAGAATTACAGTTGTGCCTCTGCAAGTCAGCAGAAATAAAGTGAGAAATAAAACGAGAGATTTATCATCACTTTGAAAAGTATTTCATAACCTTTATATGTATTATAGGAGTGCTCTTTGTTTGTTTGTTGTTTATCGCCGCACTTAGCAATATTCAATCGATATAACAGCTGTAAATAATCAAGTCTGGACCAGACAATCCAGTTATTGATATCATGAGCATCCATCCACACAGTTGGATACCATGACATGTATCAACCAAGTCAGCAAGCCTTGACCACCTGATTCCGTCAGTTGCCTCTTACGACAAGCATAGTCGCATCTTACAACAAGCATGCGTTGCTGAAGACCTATTCTAACCCAGATCTTTATGGGTCTATTAAAGGAGTTGGTGAGAGAGGAAGTTGTGTTTAAGTTGTGTTTAACCTGGCAGTATTCAGTATTTTAGTAATATCAATGTGAGCTAACTATACTGAACAAAACAAGTTATGGATCATGAATATTTGGGGGATATTTTTATGAAATTGTGTGCTCAGTCTTCACTACAAAAAATTATCCTGAAAATATTCATGATCCCTAAATTATTTTGTTCATCATAGTAACAAAGCAGGGTCTTGTTTGCCCTGGCAAATCAGTGGCTAAGAGCCTACCACCAGGTCCTCATTTTGTCGACTCTTACAACAAGCACAGATGTACTGAGGATCCATTCTGACTGAAAGTGAGTGAGTGAGTGAGTGAGTGAGTATGGTTTTACACCGCTTTTAGCAATATTCCAGCAATATCACGGCGGGGGACACCAAAAATGGGCTTCACACATTGTACCCATGTCGGGAATCAAACCCGGTCTTCGGCGTCTGACTGAAAGTGAGCTAAACAGAGCCCACCCAACAAGGAGTGAGCATGTGAATGTCCATGTATTTCACTGCAAACTGTTACTAATCAAACAAGGCAAGTCTGTGACTAAAAGTATCATGAACTATCCACACAATTGGGTAAGATAAACCACATCACAAAGTCTGACCACCCAATCCTAGCTCTCACAAGCATGATGTTCTTGGGGGATATTCTGAGCCAATAGGCAAATCAGTGACTGAATCATCATCAACTATCCACACAATTGGGTAAGATAAGTCAAATCACAAAGTCTGACCACCCAAGTCAAGAGATAGTCAGCTCTCACAGGCATGAGGTTCTCTGGGCCTATTCTGACCCACCATCCCCACAGAAGATAACGCAGTCATGGGGAGTCCTGAGTGTACTAAGATGTCTGCCCTACCCGCATCCCCTCCCTGCTGCTGAGCCTGCTGCTGTCGCTGCTCGGAGGCCAGCTGCTGCATGGCGATCTGCCTGGCGCGGTACTCAGCTGCCCGGATCTGCTCCATGTGGAACTGCTGCCTCTCCTGCAGGAGCTGCTGTCTCTGGTACTCCAGCTGTGGACAGGCATGGTGTTACAGAGGTGAATGTTGGACAGGCATGCTGTTACAGAGCTGAATGTTGGACAGGCATGGTGTTACAGAGGTGAATGTTGGACAGGCATGGTGTTACAGAGGTGAATGTTGGACAGGCATGGTGTTACAGAGGTGAATGTTGGACAGGCATGGTGTTACAGAGGTGAATGTTGGACAGGCATGGTGTTAAAGAGGTGAATGTTGGACAGTCATGGTGTTACAGAGGTGAATGTTGGACAGTCATGGTGTTACAGAGGTGAATGTTGACAGTCAAGGTGCTATAGAGGTGAATGCTGGACAGTATGTCTTAATACTAGACAAGAGTGGAATATTGCAACAGTTTTAGTCTAAACACTAGTTATTAACATGACAGCAATATTACAGCCACAAAGAATTGTTCCACCCATTTTGGCAATCCTAATCTTGAAACTATGGAGATACGGCAGCTGGGGTGCTCAGATCACTTTAAGCCACGCCTTGCTCCACCTACCGCTTCTCTCTCCCTGTCCATGATTGTCTCCAGCTCCTCAAAGTGTCTCAGTTTGATCTCCAGTTTCTTCATCTGTGTCTCAACCAGCAGCGCCACCAGACTCTTGATCTTCCTCTCCTCCACAGCAGCCAGGTGCTGAAGAAAGCAACACATAGTACAAGTCAATACCAACCACCACACACAAATCTGAGGCAACTGATAGACCAGGAAGCAAACAAGAACAATATACACAATACTGCTTTGTGACAATCCCATATCCCATCTCATTATTAGAGGTTTACAGTACCCTCAACAATATTCCAGCAATAGGACTGCAGACTGTTAACATTAGAGTCTGGACAAAACAAACCAGTGATTGATTTTAGAAGCAAAATACCAAGCCATCAGAGTCCAAAACAAGAAACCAAAAGTCACCGAGCCAGGCAACCAGATCAGTTTAATCACCTTGTATCACAAACATAGGTTGCTAATGCCTTATGTTAACCCGGAACCACCACAGGGAGTGTCTATCTCCGATTATGGACTTGTTTGGCTGACCAGCTTACCTTGGCCTTGACGGCAGCTGCAGCAAGAGCAGAGGCTGCAGCCGTGGCGATGTTGCCATCCTTGCCATCCTTGACTTTCTCCACCTTCTCCAGTGCCTTCTCTTCTTCTTCCTTTTCTTCTTCCTTCTTATCTGTAGCTTCACTGTCTTCCGGCTTCTCACTGGCATCATCTTGTTTCGACTGAACAGAACAAAATTTGTGTTAAAAATATAAACGAGCCAAACTTTGCAAAGGAAATATCATCACAACCAACCCTCTGAAAAGTGTGTTGGTCTGTCTGCTGTTTTACGCCACACTCAGCCTAATTCCAACCACAAGGGCAGTCTAAAAGAATCAAGTCTGGACCAGACAAAGCAGAGACTGACATGTGCAATGTCCCAGGCCATTCAGGTACAAAGACACGTCACCAAGCATGACCACCTCATCCATTTAGAAGTATAAGACACGCATTGATGCTCATGATGTCAATCACTGGTTTGTCTGGTCCTAACTTGATTATTTACATACATAGCTGGGATAATGATGAGTGTGGCATCAAACAACAAACAAACAAATGAAATCAAGTGCTAGCCATAATCACCTGCTATTTTACCCACCCGATCACCAGTTTAGTCTAATCTTATAGGACAACGATTCGTCTCCAGAATGGCTAGTCTACCTGAAATGATTTACTTCTAGTAATCATATTACCAGATGGTAGCCTTAAAGCTACCAGGAGCTTGCATCTGAAACCTTGGCTGTGACATTTAAGGGGACCTTTCATTGACATGAACCAAATGATAAACCCTTCTCCCGAGGTACACCATTTCTCTACCTTGGCAACAGAAGCTTTGCCTCCCACCTTTTCTGTTTCTTCTCCTTCTTCCTTCTCAGCAGTTTCAGTTTTTTCTTCTGAATCTTTGGATTCCTTCTCAGGCTCTTTCTCTTTTTCCTTCTCCTCCTCTTTTTCTTTCTCCTCTTTGTCTTTCTTTTCCCCACCTTCTTCCTTATCCTCTTTCTCCTTCTTCGTCACCACATCAGTGCTGTCTGTCTCCATCGCCTCCTCACTCTGACAGACAAACAACAACATTGTAACTAACAGATCACAAAGCTGACATCTATAACACAATTGTGAAGCACCATGACCATACCCATTTTGTAACTAGTTTCATATGTGGTGAGTAGTCATTGGAGTATCTAACAATTGCCAAAGCAGGAAGTTTATTTGTCTTCTTTTATGTAACCCCTACCACTAACAACATGAAAGTGAAACCAAATGCCCTTATCGCACACAAAAAGAAGCATTATGCAGAATAAACCCTTATAAATAAATTGTAAGGGATTTCATGATATTTGATTGGCTAACCATAAACTGGGAAGATATTAGGGCTGAACCTACTAACAGAATTCTTTTACCTGATTGGCTGAAAATAGAATGGGCAGGACTTGTTACATTAATGCCCTAAAAAGGTCACCGTTTTCGTACAGTAGTCTACAATTTTATCGACAGTGTTCACTACTAAATGAGCAGTCTATGAAGTTATTATTGTTGAAGTATTTTACTCATAAGAATTGACCAATATCTTTTTGCGTTTGTGGAGTTATAAATGTAGAATCTTTTGAAGTCAGTTCTTATAGAGAGACAACCCAGTATCAATACACTACAGCCTACAATATCGCATCGTAAGGAACATTTCCAATGAAATAATGTCACAATTATCCCCTGACTAGCAACAAAACCATTACAGGGAAATGGGGCTTAACATTGCATTCAAGATGACTGACTCCAAGCCAACCAGTACTTCCCCTAAATGAGAGGCAAGCAGGATAACAAGTACCTTCTGTTAATGTCTTTTGATATGATACAGCCGGGGATCGAACCAAAGACATTTCACAGACGCTCTCTCCACGAGAAGATCAATCATACTAGAATGGATTTTCAAACTTTAAACTACTCCACTGGGAAGGGTTGCCCATGGATGTAAATTTAGGGTATTCGAAAGCCAAGAACAAGGATGTGTTTTGCAAAACAGATTTAATATATACATAATATTCCAACTTACTGGTTCATCTTTCTTTTCTTCCTTTATTTCCTTCTTCGTCTCGTCCGTCTCAGCAGCCTTGACTTCTTCCCCATTAGGTATCGTCTCAGCAGGCTCTGAACACACAGGAAATAACATTAGTCCTCCTCATGTAAAAAACACAATTGTGAATGACACATTCTGTGACTTTCCCCACAAGTGCAAATCCCTAACTAAAACTAAAATATAAAGAAAAGGATGTTAAGAGCCAAGTTCAGGCAGGTAGACCTAAACCTTATTGACACACATTGCCTTTATACTCTTATTCCCTCCTGGCCAGAAGCTTAAAGCCAGGCCCTGCCACTTACAACACAGCTACAATACATACACAGTGAAGAACAGGTGACTTGTCAAACTGAAGGGTGAGTGAGTTAGGCGTATAGCTGTTTATGGACAGTATGTAGTTGGTTGGTTTGTTGTTTTACGCCGCACTCAGCAATATTCCAGCTATATGACGGCGGTCTGTAAATAATCAAGTCTGGACCAGACAATCCAGTGAAGAATTGGGATCGATGACATGCATCAACTAAGTCAGCGAGCCTGACCACCCGATCCCGTTAGGTGCCTTTTACGACAAGCATCGTCGCCTTTTACGGCAAGTATGGGTTGCTGAAGACCTATTCTACCCCGGATCTTCACGGGTCTATGTGGAGTAATTCAGTGCGTCAGCTGAAGTGCAATTGATTTGTGAAACAGGGCTCAGGGGTGGATCTTGATGTTAATCTGGGATCCAACCCCACAATCAGCAGGTTCTTCTGTTCCTTCTTTTAATGAGGTGAGGTGAGGTGAGGTGAGGTGAGGTGAGGTGAGGTGAGGTGAGGTGAGGTGAGTGATTATAGCTTAACACTGCATCAGCAATCTAGCAGCTATTCACTGCAGACCAACACAACTAATTTGAAGGGACTGAGTGATGAATTGAAATATTTCTCCATAAACATTTTCAGAGATCGATCATTACATGTTGTAAACTGCTTATATAAGACTGTAAAATTGACAAAACTAGTTACGATAGTAGACACTCCCAGTATCCAAAACAATAAAGAGCCATTACCAAAATCTCATCGGTGACAGATTTAGACTGTCAAAAGGAAACTGATGCCCTGTGATTTAAAAAGAGAATATAAAATGAATTATCACCCTTGATACCTTCTTCTTTCTCAGGGGCAGTTCCTGCAATTCCACTTTTCTCCAGACAGAAGGAGGCATCGACTGCCTTGCCTTCCTTTGTTGCCTCCTCGATCATCTTAGACTGAGCGTCGATCAGCGTTGGCGGAACCTCATCCTTCATTTTGGAGAACTCCTCTGCAACACAAGAAATAGCATTAATATTTCAAAATATTTTCCATGTGTTCAAATTAGAAGCTTAATATGTTTCCATACAGTGAAACCATGTTTGTCTGGACCCTGTCACAATGGACGTTCTTGTGGGGGACAAGATGCTACAAAGGAGTATCAGTGTTCGAAATAAGCGCCTGCCCGAAGGCCTGTGGCAGGTAGAGCTCGAGTCGGGCCAGTAGTTTCACAGTTGTATGGGTCCTTATGGCCTGCAGTAAATTTATGAGTCGATATTTATCACAATAAGCTGCTTTTGTTTTCATGCATATTTCTTTTAATTTCAAACACTGAGATCACTCTACACCAATGGTTTATTATTAATCTGGAAATGTGTCCGAGTATCGGGGTAAAATGACACACAATCAACCAAGTCATCGAGCCTGACCACCTGACCGCCTGACCCACTAAGTTGCTTCATACAACAAGCATAGGTTGCTGATCACCAGTTTTAACTCAGAATCCCCAAGCAGAAAAGTAAGTTGTGCATATCTTACCTAGGGCTGACTTGGCTGCTGCACTTGCGACTCTGGGGTCTACGATGGATGCAAGGAAAGCCACAGTCGACATGATGGGATTCCCACTCTGTGAGAAGGGGATGGGCTGGTACGTCAGTGGACCTGAAACATCACATGGCAAGAACTGCTGAGACTGTACACATGGCAACATATTCAGATTACATAATGAAGAAGGAAAACATTATGTTACTAACATTTTTTACCCATCCACTACAGGGATCACTGACAGATCTGTAAACGGACCATTAACTCACACATTTTGTAAACCATGGAATAGAAGGGTGGCTTCAACTGCCAGATGACAGCACAGAATTCTGTCTAAAACCTTCCTCCCTGACCCAAAGCAGTCACTGTGAATGAATGGCTGAGTGAGTTAGGCTTAACGCCCCTTTGAACAGTTTTTCACTTATATCAAGGCATGTCAACTTCATGTGGGAAGAAAGCATGAAGTGATGCTGGTCTTGAACGCTTACCACTTTTGTGAAAGGGGGCTGGCCCAGTCATCTAAGGTGCCGCAATTGGCTGTGCAGAGTTGCGTCCCTTGGGCACGCCAGAAACCTATGATTGTGAATTTGAATCCTGGTTCGCCCAGATTATGTTTCTAGGTTTGTCAGCACCATACCCGTGCTCGTGGGTTTCACCGAAGTGGTAAACGTCTGAGACCTACATCACTTTGGGCTTTCCTCCCACATTAAGCTGACATGCTGTGATATAACTGGAATACTGTTAAAAGCGGCGTTAAACCCGACTCACTCACTCACTTTTGTGAAACCCATGAACACAGGTTTGGTGCTGAACCTAGAAACAGAGTCAGGGGCAAGTTTGGAATCCATCAAGCTAACATAAAGCTCTGTGGCATCTTAGATGTCTTGGTCCCAGTGCCCCCGCTCTGTGAAAGACGCTATCTGGGGAGTGTTGGACTCACCGAGCTGCTGGTAGTCTTCCTCCAAGTACGGGTCCTCGATGGGAAGACGCAGGAAGTGAAGGATGCACTCGTCTTGGGTACGGCTGCCGACGTGCTCACACACCTTGTTCCAGTCATCCTTGTACATCTCCAGAGCCTCCAGTAACAGTAGCGTCTCCTGGTCCGTCCACTCACGCATCCGCGATGCTGCACTCTTGTCCTGTCACAACCATAGGGGAAAACTGATTAACTGCTCCTATTGATGATGATAAATTTATTCAGCATTTCCAACGCAATACAGATATAGATATTATGGTGTTCATTTTTCTACCTGTATAGCTCAACTATTGGATGTGACAAGGGCAAATGTCACATTACCAGAAACTCATTTCAACAGGCTTTCCCCTTATTGGAGCTATGGAGTTATCCATGGGGTAGAAAAAGTGTAATTTCATGTGAAAGAGAGTAATGTTAAGAGTGCTATACCGTGATGCTGGTTTTTGTTTCAACATTTTTGTGTCAGCATTGACACTAGTAATGTTACATGCATTGTATGAAATTCAGTTACGATGACAATGACCAACCGATCCCATTAGTCACCTCTTATGACAAACATAGTCGCCTTTTACAGCAAGCATGAGTTGCTGAAGACCTATTCTACCCCAGATCATAACGGGTCTAAAAACAGGGTGATAAGTTCAAAATGGCTCCACTTGCTTTTGTATGTCTAATTTGACTAAACTTTGAAATTGAATATCAATCCAAACATTGAAAAAATAGACAAAACATAATCTTAGTGCATAAACAATTTGTTTGAAATTAGCTGATTTAACACAGGAGTACAGTATTGGAATTAGGGGGTGCCAGGTCCTTGAGGTCTTCTCTATGCTCTTTTAGTCAAGGGACCTGTTAAATATGTGAACTTTAACACAAGGCATATGACAAGAACTACTTGACTTTCATACTTAATTAAGAACAATGGCAGCATATGCACTTCCTCATAAGGGTCAAACAAAGTAAGCTTTCCCAAGCCACAAAACCTAGCCATGGAAGATAATACAAGCCTGAAACAAAAACGTTTGAGTATGCAAGCCTGAACCTGGCTCTTGACATTATGATCAGTAGATCTTAGTAATAATGTATGGACCTACATTAGCAAGGCTTACTAGGCCAACGGCAATTTACAAGACACAGCCTATGAGCCAGTGGTTAAGTCACAGACTGTAACACAGATACTGATAATATTTTTCAAGCTCTATAATAACCAGCAGTTTATTTCAAATAATGAAACAATATGCTCCAAACACATGAGTGTGTGAATGAGTGAGTTGGGTTTAACGCCGCTTTGAACAGTATTCCAGTTTAATCACGACGTGTCAGCTTAATGTGGTGGGGAAGCCTGAAGTAATGCAGGTCTTAGACATTTACCACTTCCATGTAACCCACGAGCATGGGTATGGTGCTGATAAACATAGAAACATGACCTGGGCGAACCTGGATTCAAACGCACAATCATAGGTTTCTACATGCCCAAGCGACGTAATATGCACAGCGAATTGCGGCGCCTTAGACGACTGGGCCACCTGTGCCCCCTCTAAACACATGATGTAGTGAGTGAGTATGGTTTTATCCACTTTTAGCAATATTCCAGCAATATCACGGCGGGGAACACCAGAAATGGACTTCACACATTGTACCCATGTCGGGAATCGAACCCGGGTCTTCGATGTGACGAGCGAACGCTTTAACCGCTAGGCTACCCGACCTCCCCACATGATGGTATTAGTACAGCCCTTACCTTCAAGGCCTTCTTAGCATAGATGTCCATTCGGAGGCCAAACTTGCTCATATCCCTCTTTTCATCTTCTTTGTCCTCCGATTTCTCACTGAAGTCCATGATCTGCTGGGCTGCTGGTGGCTGTCAATATATGAGTTATTTACATTTATTTGTTGTTTAACAGTGCACTCAGAAATATGAGAACGAGAATGTCATTTTACTCACAAAAACAAACATCCCCCCGCCCCCAACTCCCCATTTTGTTTGATACAGTAGTTCCAGTTGTAAGTATAAATGTGTTTGCAAATCAAAAACAACAATAGCAAACAAATACCAGTACATATTCTGATTAATGCATTAATTAAGCAGTGTTACAGTTGATGCCATGCTGACTCTCTATGGCAGATAAGACTACTGAAATTGCAACAGCAGTTTGCATGATAGATTGTATTGTGCAAGAACAATGAGAAGGGTTGTGCTATGTAGAAATACTTTGTAAAAAATCCAAATTGTTTCCATGGAAACACAAGAAATTAAAAAGAAATAAAATAAAAATTGACAAATATGAAAAGGCAATAGTTGAGCATGCGATCATGTCTTGTATTTAGCAAAAATAGAAACAAAGCCCAGAATAGTAGTTTGAGATGTCATAATGAAATAAAATTTAGAAAAAAAAAAAAAAAATAGCAAAAGGCACCAGTTTAGCTGATGAGCAATGCATATGCCAAGCCTCTATGAAAAATGTTGAATGTTTTTATTCAAGTTATGGCCTGGTAACAATCCCTACCCTGTTTGAGACTAAGTCATTGAAATTGTTTCCATGGAAACAAAAGAAAATAGAATTTAGAAACAAATCAAAATAGCAAAGGGCACCACTTAAGCTGATGAGCAATGCATATGCAAAGTTTTGTAGAAAAACAAATTTTAATATATGGCTCAGAATAGGATGGGAAGGTCGACATAAAACAATAAGTCTCCTCCCCTTTTCATGAACTCGGGCAAAGTTATGGAAGCGCATATAAAAGGACTCTTTGTGCTGGTGTCAAAATTTAATAATCGATTGACAATGATGGTGGTTTGAACAGACAAACCAGTGATAGATATTATGAGCAACAACCCATGCAATCAACCAAATCACTGAGTCCAACCACACAATTTATTAAGTTGCCATGTAAGACAAACATGAGTTTCTGAGAAACAATTCTAACCAGGAAACCACACCGTGTTCTTCATGATGCACATAATAATGAGGATATAACCATTTTAGCTTTTGCAAGTTTGGTTAAAAAATACTTTGAAGAGGATTTTATTGAAGAATGAAAGACCACAGCGATGCAAGTCACAGATGAAATGAGGCCGTTGATAACGGTGAGCCTTACATTGAGGCAGAGCGCTGTGGTAGAAACCGTTTCTTTGATGCAATCTTAATGCTCATTGATATGAGCCCTGGCTGACTTCTCTCTTAGAGGACCAGGTTTTTCCTTGATTTGTCAGATAAAATAGAAACTACAAAGTGGCCTCATGCATTCACGGGTGTTCATGGAAATTAGGGTTCACAAGACCTTTTTTAAAGAAGTACAGCTTTTTATAGCTCTACAATACTTCAACACAGACCAACAGTCGCCGTGCTGTTTATTGTTCCCTGTGACGATATCAATGTGATGTTACCTGATTTGTCTTGGGTGGGTTGATGGGCTGCAGACCAGAGGGGGTGTCGGCAAGGATGTGGAAATGAGACGTGGGTGGGGGTCCCATGGGGGTGGGGCGGGTGTCGGCATCCACCTGGTAGTTGACTAGACCCCACTGTTCCAGGAATGCATGAACTCTGCCAGACATCAGATACAGACATCAATACATCACTTCACCACCATAATATAACCTGCCGGTACATCACACTTTTGAAACATCTTCCTCAAGAATAGCTTCTACTACTGACATAGCTACATTCATATATGATGGATAACATACACATGACTTGAAAGACATTTAACTATGTTTATAACGAACATGCTTATAACAAACTGATGGATATAATGAACTATTTCTTGGTCCTGTCCATTTGCTGTATATATTCTGTACATTTGCTTATAACTAACTACGGGTGTAACAAAATTGAAATAAGTGATCCCTTTGAGTTAGTTATAACCGTAATTTACTGTAGTAGAAATGATTAAATATGTATATAAGATGGCTATATGATAACTCGCATCGGAACTTCATGAAGTCGTAAATTGGACGATGTTATTTTTTAGTGGGTCTAATGTCTATTTGATCCCCAATGGGCAACACAGGTGCATGCAATGTCTTAACGATCTCATCCAAAAATGTGCGAGAGAAGACAATCCGTACTGGGATATAAGTACATATCGCCGTGACAATTGTAAGAATATAGAGGAAATACCAAACTTAACTCCTCTGTCCATAAAATGGACTTGTCCGACAATGCTGTCATTGAGTCACCATTATTCAAACATGGGTGAATATTTAAAAAGCTTGTACATTTTTTTAATATCCTTGAAGAGGCTGGACCTAATGTTGATATCTCATACAAAGCAAACGACTCGTTTATTATACAATAAACACATGGTTTATTTTCTCTGCAGTGTTCTTTTGTACGACAAACAACTCCCTCTCGTCGTTCATTTCTAACATAAAACATAGCATTCATGATTCCTGCACTTCTACAGCGATGCATGAGTGTGAGTGTGCATGCACTAGTCTGGACTAATGCCAGTCTTAAAGCACCACCCTGCAGAGATACCATGCTGCAGATTGAACACAAACACCCCAATCAGACACAGTGCACTGACTCCTAGTTGACCAGTCCTTGTTTTACCTCCTCAATAGCAAAGCGCCAGACAGTGTGATAAGTACCACCTTTTTACACATTTGGCCTGATGCAACAGTGGATGAAATCTTCAGCCTCCCGCTGTCCAGGCACATACTATCCACTAGACCACGGTAGGATACTTACCTCATTATTGCACAGACATCTCCAGCCAAGTTCCTCCTGCAGGCAGTGCTGGTCACGTATTCCGTCGGGTTGAGGCGGTACGTGTCAATCATGAAGTTGCGATATGCCATGTAGCTGCAAAAGTCAATTCATATGGAAACTTCCGGAAAATTGATTTGACAAATATTTATTCATTTCATAATAAAAAGGTAAATGTATCAGATTTTTGTATACAGATAATACAGTAATAATGAAACCCTTTTACTTAAAAATAGTGAGCGAGTAAATATGGTTTTACGTCGCTTTTAGCAATATTCAAGCAATATCACGGCGAGGGACACCAGAAATGGGCTTCACACATAGTACCCATATCCGGCATCGAACCTGGGATTTCAGCGTGACAAGCGAACGCCTTAACCACTAGGCTACCCGACCGCCCGTTACTTAAGAATAAGATGACAAATATGTAAACACATTTCTGAAAGACAGCTGTATGCCACTTATACAAGGGTACTGACTGCATTATGATGGATGGATCATTTTAGCGTTTTTCAAGATAAAAACCAAGTACAATATACCACAAAGGATTTGTTCAATTCAAACTCAGAAATATTCAACTACATGTTGGCAGTCTAGACATAATCAAGCATGTACACCATACTGGTGTGTGCTGACCAGTGATATTATAGATGTGAAACAATACATCGGTGCACTGGTGCACCATGAGTTTTCATGCGCCGATATGATACATGATACATTTTTTTCTGTATCAATACAAGACGATACACTTGCTAAAATACATTCCTCCTCGTTAAATGACCCTCGGGTTCTTTGTCAGTCAAAAATTGCAAAATATGTTGTAATTAAGGTCACGACTAAAAATAGCCGCAAAGAATAAGTGTCTACAGCTTGCCTTTCCTTTTGAACCTTCACTTCCTTTTGAACCAAATCACTTACATTTCTGGCGTTTTTGATTTGTTCTTTCCATTGAAGAATTCAGGCAGTGCTCGTCGCTCGATGGCGTGGATGCTGTTGTAGTCGAACCAGGCGGAGTAGCTGGGGATGACGATGTGGTGAGTCTGTTCCGTCAGGTTGTCCTCCTGATCCTCCTTGTCCTTCTTGGACCCCTCGTCTGTTGTGGATCCGGTCTCTGCCCGCTCCGGCTCAACCTGGGGAGAGGGAGAGGGGGATTCAGGTTTTTGTTTCTTTGTAGTTTCACACCATGTTTTATTTGAAGAGACAGAGCCAAGCCAACTTCTGATCTAATGCAATTCAACCAGCTGGGAGCTTAGATATGCCATTCATCAGAAATACCATTTCTTTTCATTTCTCAATCATCCCCTGCACCATCTTCCCGAGGCAAGTGAGTTAACTGACTATAAAAGTCCAGTTTCCACCCTTGCCGAACTAGGCTGGGATTATGGAGTTCGATTTTGGCTGGACTAACGAGTCTATGCATAGTCAAACCAAATTCGCGAACCGAAATCAAAATCTGGTTCGTAAACTGTCATGCTGAGTTCGGTTGATTGCAGGATTTGCAAAGCATGTGCATCGCCAACTCGTTGTCAACAGATATTGTCCAAATCTTTTCATGTTTGTTATCAAGGTGCTCACGTGATTTGATGTACTTCGCGAAGTAAGAACCGTTTATCACAAAATAGATCTTGATGGTCGATCAGATCGTCTTGACTAGGCGCCACCATATTGTTTGAAGCAAATGCATGTGATACGAGAGCTGGAATCTGATTGGTCCATATGGGAGAGGCATAGAATGGACATAACTCGTAATAGCCACTGGTGGCGCTACGATCGAGCCCAGGAATTCCAGCCTAGTTCGGCAAGGGTGGAAACTGGACTTTTAAAGTCAGTTAACTCTTTTGCTTTGGGAAGATGCCCCTGCACTAACTGAATCCCTTTTTAACATAATCTTGTTGAATTTCAAATTGCAAAATGAGTATCTGATTTTCAGTTTCTGACATTCAGACTGACTAATGAGAGCTGTCTGCTGTAAAACACATGGTTGTCGGTGAAACACTGTGTTCTGCATCATATGAATAGTGCTGATAGTTCTGCAAAGTCTGTTCTTGTCTATTTACTTAAATAGATTACAAGTTCCCCCTCGTCAGATGGCCTACATGTAATTACTGAACCAAAGCACATGTACTATCGTACCTTTCACTTCAGTGGAAAATACGCCAACAAACAGTTTACCGTTTAATGTTCTTGTTCCACGAAGTGATCTCAGTATCACATTCTACTGTCGTAAGTGTTTGATTTTGTTTATATGTTTGTTTAACGCCACACACAGCAATATTTCAGCTATCGGACGGCGGTCTGTAGATAATCAAATCTAGACGATTGTGAGCAACGATCCATGCACAATGACACACATCAACCAAGTTAGCTGACAACCACTTCATTTGCTGGCCTCTTACGACCAGCATAGGTTGCTGGGGGCCTGTTCTAACACTAATATTCATTAACACTGTCAAAAATATTATTACTTCTACTCTGGACCTTCACCGGTCGAGTGACAAAGAATGAGCGAGGACTGACCTTGTCCCCTTGGTCCTCTTCTATGTCCATCAATGTCCCTCCCTTGATAGGCTGCAGCTCACTGTCCTTCTGACTCCGGGATCCAGGTACTGTCAACAGGGACACAATACTTATTTATTTTCGAACCAAAGCATGTGGTTAAAAGCAAATTGTAATATCAAAGTCTGATTCATCTGATCAGCTGAGGGGGCACGGGTGGCCCAGTCGTCTAAGGCGCCGCCATTCGCTGTGCAGAGTTGCGTCCCTAGGGCAAGCCAGAAACCTATGATTGTGGGTTCAAATCCCGGTTCGCCCTGATTATGTTTCTAGGTTTGTCAGCACCATACCCGTGCTCATGGGTTTCACCGAAGTGGTAAACCTCTGAGACCTGCATCACTTCGGGCTTTCCTCCCACATTAAGCTGACACGCCGCGATATAACTGGAATACTGTTAAAAGCGGCGTTAAACCAAACTCACTCCCTCACTCTGATCAGCTGACCGTAATCAGCTGTCTAATAAAGTGTTGTGGCACTACAAAACTGTAAGAAACACAGGGCCCCAGTCTAATTGGCCTGATATTGATATGACAAGCTGTCATTACTCGTCATCCATCAGAGAAATCAGCCTACAGAATTCATCCAAGACAACTAAATTGTCCTCAGGCCTCAAAGTTTACATTTTTACCAAGTAGCCATATGGCTACAAGGTTTTTTTCTAGGTAGCCAGTGGTAAAAGAAAGAAGTCAAGCCAATAGTTTTGGTAGCCAAAAGCATTTGAAATGATCTTTTATCAAATAACTATTATATGTACAAGTCATAGCACAAGTCTTGGAATTGTATATTAGTGGAAACTGTACTTGAATTTTGTTTTTTTGCTTATCCAATAAATTATCAACTAAAATATAATACTAATTACATCGATAGTAATGTATTTCAGTTCATTGTTGACTTTAGGAGGAATTATTTGCGAGTACAATTAGTAGCAGACATGTTTATTTTTGTGTCTACATATGTGTAGCAATAAAATTTAGTCGCCACAAGATATTTTTAAAGGTAGTCATTTGGCTACCACTGAATTTTAGACAGTAATCAAATTGAAATTTGGGTCCCATTGGTGACTGTTTTAGTCGCAACTTTGAGGCCTGGTCCTGAGGACAAGTCAAAATCCAATGATGGTATAGTACTCATTGACAAGCAGCAGTTGAGGGCTTTGATTTTGAAACAGCTCTCAATGATTCATTTTTTTCTAGATATTGTAACTCAATAAACTGACAGTAGTAAACATTATTGTCTCGTTCAAGCAGGACTATATTCACTGTGATCAAATCCCTTCATGTTAACTACAAACGATATCCAGAATGAAGTAAAGAATAAATCTTACAAGCCATATAATTCACACCCAAATACATGTCATTCAAGCTCACTCAGATGACATAAAGCAATCTTTGCACTCAAAATCATTTTATTATAAATGCTTTCCTTCCAAGCCACATTCAGTCTGCGACTTTGGCCACTACTGAACCCAGAATCTAGTACAATTCTGTTAGGTCCAGTAAGCTCAGCTAATATTAGTCCACATAATAACACTATAATATGCTGAAAATGATATTAAGAGCCATGTTCAAGTTAGTAGACTCTTAACTTTTGGCACAGACAGCATTCAACCTCATCAGTTTTCAAACCTGCACACCCATTAATCCCTGAAGGCAAGGATGTGTACAGATGAAGTTGAATGTGACTTCCTTCACATCAGCCACAAGGCCATGACTTCCTTCACACAAGGCCATGACTTCCTTCACATCAGCCACAAGGCCATGACTTCCTTCACATAAGGCCATGACTTCCTTCACATCAGCCACAAGGCCATGACTTCCTTCACATAAGGCCACAACTTCCTTCCCATAAGACCACAACTTCCTTCCCATAAGGCCATGACTTCCTTCACATAAGACCACAACTTCCTTCACATAAGGCCATGACTTCCTTCACATAAGACCACAACTTCCTTCCCATAAGGCCACAACTTTCTTCCCATAAGACCACAACTTCCTTCACATAAGGCCATGACTTCCTTCACATCAGCCACATGGCCATGACTTGCGTCACATAAGGCCATGACTTACTTCATATAAGGTTATGACTTCCTTCACAGAAGACCATGACTTACCTTGTTTGGCAATGGCGACCTCCTGGATGTTGGGTTCTGGGGTAGGCTCCTCCATGTCCTTGGTCAAATCTTCCTCCTCTTCATCCCGAGTGGACCTCTTCTTAGTAGAACTGAGTCCTGGTGTCCGTCCACTAGATGGGTGAATACTTCATACTTAAGTTAGTGAATCCCTCACAGTCCAGGAATAGAAATGGTACCACAGGGCACTATTCAAATTTTGATCCATATTCGAAATATGGAATCTCTTCTCACCATGAACTAGATAATAAGCAGTCGTAAATCAAACAAATGCCTCATTCCTTTTCACTGCACTTGAAAATTCAATGTCTGAATCCCTAGGTTTATTCAGTGAATCGTATTTGGCATTATTTCTTTTCAAAATCTCATGTACCATGTATCTTTCCTGTTTACTTGTGTGAAGTACATTTTATTTTGTCACTAGATTGGTATTACTTGCAAAAGTACCTTCAATACCTTAATTGTTTTCCGGAATAAACCCAAATTCTTAATTAAAAACACCGAATAATCCTATCTTCAAAACATTCCATCACAAAGTTTCACTCACATATATGTAAGTACTTGAATCAGATTCAACAGTATTTCAGTTACATCATAGTGTGTCAGCTTCAGGGAGGGAAGCCCAAAGTGATGCAGGTCTTTAACACTTTGATGAAACCCATGAGCACAGGTATGGTGCTGACAAACCAAGAACAAAACCAACATGATCTTGTAATTGAAGCCACAATCAAAGGATTTGAGCATACAACAGGGTTGCAACATAGCACAGTCAACTAGCACCTTCGACAACTGGACCACCCGTGTCGGTTATTCTCACAAGTTAATAACAGGACCAAGGTCTAAGACCCATTAAAAGGTGTGTCACCATCTTTGAGCAATGTGCATCATTTGGCTCTATGTTTCCGGAATCTGGAGCATAATTTTCACGGGTAACTGGTCACTGGACCACATGTATTCACATCAAGCTCTCAATAAATCCACTTATATTCAACAAAGTTTTCTATCTGTACATCAAGTCACATCTGAAACCCACCTCTTCCTCTTCTTTTTCTCTGGCACTGGCGACGGTGATCGTTTCCTCTTCCCCTTTTTGTCTTTCTTATCTCTTCGGTCAGGGTCAGGGTTGTTCAGCTAAAAAGTTGAGAAATTAATAAAGATGAAAAACTTAAAACTTAACTCCACTGCATCCAAATAGCATTCAAAAGATCATAATATTCTTGGTTCTCTGAACTTCTCACATGAAAACACCATGCATGAGTGCTTTTTATTTCTGTCTTACTGCAAATTAGGGATCCTCACAAAGCAACAAGATAAAATTTCTAAAATGTCATACAAAAATATATTTAAAAAAAAGTTAAAAATATTGTTACCAAAACCAATATTCCTTAAATCTTATTTCTATTTGTCACCAAATGACACAACTCACAGGTGTATTAGTACTGTGCTGTTTAACGCCTCACTCAGCAATATTCCAACTATGTGGCGGCAGTCCATAAATAATCGAGTCTGGACCAGGCAATCCATTGATTGACACCATGAGCATCGATCCACGCAATTGGGATACGATGACATGCATCAACCAAGTCAGCAAGCCTGACCACCCGATCACGTTAGTCACCTCCTACGACAAGCATAGTTTCCTTTTGAGGCAAGCATGTGTTGCTGAATTCTACCCCGGATCTTCACAGATCTGAATTAGTAGTACAAGAAGAAAAGCAACAACATGTTTCCTGAGGAAACAAAGAAGTTATCACTTGACATGCATCAACCAAGTCACCTGACCACTTGATCCCGTTTACCGCCTCTATGACAAGCATACTATCGTTTGCCATTATCTTTCATACAAGAAGTTACATCAACTGTAAAAATGCATATCCAGACCAATACTTACATCTTCCAAAGTCAACTTCAATCTGTTTGATTTCTTGTACTTTTTATTGCTGCCATCAGCCTGAAAGCCAGAAGCGGTGACATTTCATAATATGTAGAATAGAGTAACATTTGCCTTAACATCAGATGTTTAACACCACAATAAACATCATTCATTGTGTAAGTGTCTCAGCATTATGTGGGTCGAAAGGCCAAAGTAATACACACACATTTCCATGGACGTGTATTTTTTTTTTAGCCTACTGGATTTGGCGTAACAATCATCCTGGGCACTTAGAAAATCGACAAAGGAGGTGCCTTTTAAATTTGCTTTCAGAGATTGAGCTAAAGTGAACAAACAAAATCGATCATATTTACTAGGCAATTATATGCCCCCTCTATGCTCCTGTTTTCTGTAATAAATATTTATGTACAGTCTAAGTAGAGGAGGCTTGTTGAGATTACCTATAGGTTGATCTAAAAGTAGGCTAGGGAGTGCTTATTGAAGCAGGGCTCTCAATATGATGAATACGATAATCACAACCAAACACAACATAAGTAGCACAAATTGCAATGTCCTTATATATACGCATATACGTAGTAAAACAAACAACATAAAATAACATAGTACAGTCAATATAGTCAAACATATGAATTCTCCAGACACACAAAATAAGTTGAAGAATTTTGTTTCTTCGCACCTTTACATTTACATGAGACTTTCTACAAGGTACAAGATGTCGATACGTACATTGAATTCATCCTCAACCAAATAATCCTCTTCATTCATCCATTCATTGAATTCCTCCAAGTCCAGCAGCCATCGTGCACTCACCTGAAGTGCATCGTAGAACATGTAATACCATTATCAAGGATGGGTGTCAATGTATTGTCAAACACCAGGTTATGTTGCAATACTATCACGATATACATGGTATTGTATCATTTTAAATCTGGAACTCAGAAACATAAATCCAGGGATAGCGCCATGTTTAGGCCCTGGATGTTTACGATCGTGGTTGACGGAAATGTTCGAAATAATACAAAAGAACATAAGGGGGTTAATGATGAACGAATCATGATGAGAAACAAATTCCTTTGTATTTCAAAGATATTTGCGAAGTTTATAACTAAAACACCAAAATTGATATTTAAAATCACCCGATACACCAACTTGTAAACAATAATATTGTGGTATGTATTTTTGAATACAAGAACAATAGTTTACCAGTATACCAGTAATACTGTGCAACCATAACTACCGTATTATATATCTTATGAAACCTCATTTGTACTTTAATGAAATGAAGAACAAAAATAATTAACACCTAAACACTGTTAGATATAAGTACTCATGTTCTCTTATATCCTAATAGAACAAAGAGGGTTTAGAAAACAGATTGATAATGAACGACATCCTTGAGAAGGGAGATAACCCAAAGATGAATTACCTCCCTTACAAGTGTCAAGATTCTGAAGAATGTTTCAAAAGCCTGGACATTTCAAATACAGGCACATTTTGCGCTGAAATGAATTGCAAACACATATTTGCACTTATTTCTTAATGAAAATGTCCAGGTCCAATAAGTATGTGGACATTTTCTGATGCCTATTTTCACAGTTACAAACCTCGAAGGCACCCTGGTGCGAGTATGGGGAGTCTGGATCGTAGTCAATATTAGTATCAGTCACCCACGTGTCATAGCTGAAAACAAAACAAACCTTTACAATGTGTCATACTTAATGGGCCTTTCAACTGGACTAGTTTGTAAATATCAAAATGCGGGTTAATCGTGTATATAACAAAAATACATCTGGGCACAGGTGAGTGAGTGAGTTGGATTTGAAGCCGCTTTTAACAGTATTACAGTTATATTACGGCGTGTCAGCTTAATGTGGGAGGAAAGCCCAAAGTGATGCAGGTCGCAGACGTTTACCACTTCGGTGAAACCAACAAGCACAGGTATGGTGCTGACAAACCTAGAAACATAATCGGGTCGAACCAGGATTCAAACCCACAATCATAGGTTTCAGGCGTGCCCAAGGGACGCAACTCTGGCACAGGTACTAACGACATGGGGGTAAAAAAAGTGACCAGCACAAGACCCTATTATTGTTCCACTGGTATGAATCCATTTTATCGGACACCTTCCACAATTTTGGTAAGGGATGAGGTGAGGTTAAATGATGTTTAACATCGTGTCCCAGGCAAAAGTGACCAGCATGAGGTGGCAATACAAATGCAAACAGTCATTTATTCTGCCTATTTTGAGATTTATTACTGTATTGTTCAAATAGTAATGCTGTGGTGTTTGGCTAATATATGAGTACAAAAGAACATGGATGGGTATGTGGTAGAATGCATGAGAAGTGTTTCACTCCCTACCTGTCAGGGTAGTACCACCAGTGTACCAAGGAATGACGATCCCTCTTTAGCACTGGTCGGAAATACTCGTCTGAAAAATAGAAAAACATGTCCTTGACTGAATGCAATGAATCAATCAATAAACAAGGAGTAGGTTTGCGAATTCCTTTTTACACTGCAATCAGATATATTGCAGCAATCGAGGGGTAGTCAAGCATGCGCCCCACCACCGTTAACATAATTGAATCACAATGTTACACGATCAGTTCCCACATTGAAATAATTTGATCATCATTTGACTGGCTATCTACTCCTATACTCCCCCAGGGGGAAATGTCTGAAGTTAATTGCAGGTAATGAAAAAGTAACCCATATTCATAACTATTTCCAACTAATAGTGGTGGAACGATACAACACATCACAAGCATTTTTTACATCCCAATACCAGTATTTTATTTTTTGCTTGTTCAAACTAGTATGTAAGCAAACAAAGAGTTGTGTACCATTAACCTGGGACATAAACAAGTATACATAAACAAGTATACTATTGCCGCCATGACCATAACACAAGATGCGCAGTAAAGCAGTGTGCACATAAGAAAGTAACTGTGTGCTATATTGGATTGCATTGTTTTAAGCATGTTAAGTATTAAGATTTTCTGATTTTTTTTAAAATGAAAAAACAACAGGCTTTATGATGATGCGGGTGGTGCCTTAGAACCAAGATTATTATTTTTATCAGCGTTACATACCATATCAAACCAGCATATGACATATTAAGACTTTAAAAAGTCACTCAAACTAGCTGTTCTACAACTGAACACTACTGTTTACCATTAGGTGGAGGGTGGGATGGCAGTGTGTGCACAATGTGAGTGGCGTCGTCAGCATCGTCACACATCGTGCCCTGGTGCCTCTTGATGATGTCCTTGAGTTTGGGGATGAGGATCTTGTCCACGTCAGGGCGGATGAAGATGGAGGGAGGTGGCAAGCACTTGCTGGAGACGAGCGCCTTCTCGATCTGCATAAACATCTCCACGTTCCTGTCCATTCGGGATGGAGACTGGAAGTCGAATCTTCTCCTGCAAACAACCCATGATGTGAAGTGCCTCACCATAACAATATACTATTAAATTGAATGTGTATCTGATGTAGGCATGTCATGATTCACCAATACATCAAAATTATTCTCAGACGACATAATACAAAGTTACCAGTATCGATTCATATCAAAATCCTGTATCACATATGGACTTACTTAGTTTATTTATTACAAAGAATTTGCTATTTTATTTCATAATAGAAACTACTTATGTTGACGAACTAGTCCGAAATATAGTATTGATTGAACATGTTGAAATGAGACATTCATATTTTTAAACACTTGCACAAAGTGATCTTAGTGCTAAGATGATCGTAACTCCCATACTTTAACATAGGCTTACGATAGTCGTAGCGCTAAGATCGATGTGTGCAAGTGGGTCCAGATATTCATGAAGTTTCAAGCCTTCCTTAATAGTGGTTATGCCCTATGAACATGATGAAAAACAAATTCATAAAAAATTGCAATGAATTAAGTATCATGAGATGGTCGTATCGTGACATCCCTAATCTGATGAGTTATATGCATTATGCAACGAAGCAACCTTCATAATTGGACATAACTATATAACATTGATTTGTTTGTTATTTAATGCAGCACTCAGCAATATTCCAGCTATGTAATATCAACAGTGTGTAAATAATCAAGTCTGGACCAGGCAATCCAGTGATAAATATTGTGAGCAACGATCCCCGCCTTTGGGGTAGGTTGATACAAAATCAACCAGGTCACCAAACCTGACCACCCGACCCGTTTGGGCGCATTTCACAACCAGCATAGGTTGCAGGGGACCTTTTCTAACAGAGAATCCCCATGGGGATGGATATTGACACTGTCAGCATTAAACCACCACTATCACATTCCATACATTGATATATAGTATAACATACCATCCTTGGTCACTTTTGAATTTGAAGACGGCAGCAAAAATCTGACAAAGTCCACCTCCTGCCTTGAAGTCGAGGAAACATTTCATCTACAAACAAAATTACTGAGAATCAGCTCAGTGACATTGATCAACTTGAGGATGGTTTCATCCCCAAACGCTTCTAATAACTGATACAAAGAATACATGACATTCAAATGATGGATAGCAACATCTATTATTCTTTGTCACATTATTTCATAGCTACTGTTTGCTCCTTCACCTGATAAAGGAGACAGAAGTAGCTCTGAAATGTTGTGACAAAGAACAAAATAAGTTGCTATACATAGAAAATGTCATGTACTCATGTTCTCCAAACTTCTAAATGCTTATCAAAGACTTCAAACAAAGAACTGTTTAATCTGAACAGACCAATGAAGACAGAGCACTTGAAACAGTTTCATAAATCTTTAAAGCTATTCCACTTTAAATATGGACATCTCGATTATTAACGACTGGTTCAAAACATTAAACACAACCGATATAAGATGCTGGACGTTCCACATAAATAGCTGCATTCACTGATACATATAGAAGTAAACAAAACATATCCTGGAGTCCACGCAATTGGAATACAATGACATGCATCAAACCAAGTCAATAGTCTGACCACCCGATTCTGTTAGTCGCCTTTTACAACCTACATGGTCACCTTTTACGGCACTTACATGTGATGAAGTCTCACTGACTGAATCTCAGTGAATGATATAAACAAATACTGATGGCAATGAAAAAGGGAACGCTTAGTTTCAGACACAGAAAAATGCTATGCTGTCATGGGTTCCTAGCCTTGTCTTCTAAACACGAGTGAGAAACAATGCACATAAACACATCTCAACAGAAGCTTTGGCACATGCAAGACATGATGCAATGGGTACAAAGACCCATATGCTTGCTGAGAACATTCATGGACAAAGTAGAGGCTATAATAATTCCACTACAATGCCAACACAGTACATGAATGTAGGGCAAACATGGCAGGCCATCAGGGAGACATGTGGTGGGATGCCCATTTGCCAAACAGTTGGGGACAAGCCATCTTCCCAAGGCAAGGGAGTTAACTAACTCCGGCTTCTACCCTTGCTGAACTAGACAGGAATTATGGAGTTATATCTTGGCTGGACTAACGAGTCTATGCATATTCCAATCAAAATCGTATAATGAAATTTGCATTCTGTTCGTCAGATTTCGGTTGTTCGCAGTTTTGTTTTACAATATGGATCTTGATTATCAATCCGATTGTCTTGACTGGGCGCAGCCATTTTGTTTGAAGCAAAAGCAAGTGATATGAGAGCTGGAATCTGATCGGTCAATAGGAGGGACATAGAAGGGACATAACTTGTAACAGAAATCCCAGCCTAGTTCGGAAAGGAAGCAAACTGGACTTTTATTTCCATCAGTACATGTTGTTTTGTTCAGCTTCTATCAAGTCTAAAAATTGTTCACAAACAACAGACAAAACACAACAATGGTGTTATTTCAATCCGGAATTTCCTTTTCTGTACCTTGTTAGACAACGGCTCAACATTTCTTTTACATCATAATGTTGTGGACAATGCAATTGTGTGCATATACATGACATAGGGTATTACTTACAGGCAATTTAGTAAGTGCTGGGTTTGTTTGGGATTTTCCAAATGCATCTTCTTGAAACTGTAATAGTTGAATGACGAGACTTGACAGGCCTTTGTTGGTGGGGGGATCGGCCTGAGTATACTGAAAGAAGAAATCACATCAACATGACCAACAGTGTTTCTGGTGTCATTTTCAACAAGAAAAATACTCGTCAAGGCATCTTTGCCTCAGTTCCGATTTCAAAACAGAAATTCTGAATGTATTTTATAAACACACATTAGGCATTACTCTTTTTATTTCCTAATGTGACAGAGTGTCAACATGGAGACCTGAAGGTCAGTGGTATGATCCCTGTGATACTGTGTTCCAATGGGGTATGAAAGTTAAAACTGTTGCTTTTTAGTAATGACTATTGGCCTGAATATTGTATTGATATATAGGTCCTTGACAGTGGTACAAGGAGCTATACTAAAACTTCACCAATACAGTTAAATAAAGAAATTGTTGTCCATAAATTGTGTCTACTTTGTCCATCAAAGTTATTTCTGATTTGTCTGATGATGCAAGTGGTTGAACAGGCATATTAATATAGCAAACTAACAAAAGCTGGCAATAGTTATAAACGCCATGAAAAAATATTCTAAAACAACATCAAATCAAAACTTGGGACTTCAACATGTTCAAGGTAAGAGCTCCAGATAAACTGCATATCTGCGTAAAATACGCTTTAGAAATGCAGAAATATGCAGTAAAATAAAATCCAAGCGTATTAAATACGCAACGAACATTACAGATACGCTACAAAAATAAAACTTGTGCGTATCATCAAAATAATGTGAAGTAACCCTGCGTATTCGATTAGCAAATCAGCAACTTAAGTCTTATTTTGAAATTATAAACGGGCATTCCGTCAACTTTGCCAAACTCCACGATGACAGTTACATCATGATGATCATTTGCCATCACACTTTCTTGTGGAAGTATCGTGGTATTTTTGAGTCCTATAAAGCTCTTGAACTCGCAGGACACCAGTTTGCAGGGACTAGATGAATAGTGTTTTTAAATATTTAACTTAAATACCCACATGTGAAAAAACTAGTGGGTAGTAGAAATTTGAATACCCAGATGGAATGATACCCAATGATTTTAAAATGCATGGGTAAAATACCCACAACACCAAAAGCTTATCTGGACCTCTGTTCAAGGTTGTGGTAAAAGTATGTGTTCTGCCTAGAAACTTCAGCAAAAATACATGGGGTCATTTTCAAAACTTATGGGGCCACATTCTGAGAGATCATATAAAACTTAAAACCTGTTATGCATGTTATTTGTGCAAAATCATCGTCCTTGATTCACGTTAGGGATTCACAGGATGTTTAGCACAGCATCTTTTTCAGATATTACATATTGCAGCAACAATGTCCGATGTCATATATCCTCAAACATATATTGTTTGGGATCACTGTCATTAGCATGATTGTCTCTTCAACATTGTTCAAGGTACTCTTTATAAAATTAGAATTTAGCTCTTTCAATAGAATTAGATTTCACCTGACTTAAACGAATCTGACATGTTATACTTATAGTAGTTCTTTCTAATTTTTTATTGGTACTATGTGTAGTCACGAAGTCTGGATCATTGAAAATTTCTACCATTCTCAGTTTTTCTCCCTTTCAAAGTCTGTCACCATAATCACAATGTTTCGCTAACATCACTTCTGCGATACTGGTGTCATTTGAAGCAGAAACACCTTTGACGTTATCAGAAGTTGGTTTAGGCTGTGTTGACAACAAAAAGAATTCAAACATTGATCTGAACCTTTTCTGACCGACTGTTCACAGATTTTGCTGTTTTGCCATGGTTTATTAATTACGGTAAAGAACAAATGAAAATATGATATCGTTATTTACATAAATGTTTAAGCTCAATTCTGATTGGACCATTTGTGATGTTCAGTCAATGAGTGAGTGAGTTTGGTTTTACGCCGCTTTTAGCAATATTCCAGCAATATCACGGCGGGGTCAAGGTCAATGAAAGCCTCTGATAGTAAAGTGAGACAAATAAGGCAATGAAAATCAGAGCGTTTACCTTCAATGATCGAAGCAGCTGTCTGAGTGATGTAAAATGTCTGAGACAGTCAGTGACACCCATAATTATTAGGGCTTGGGTGATACACCAACTGTGTGATCTGAATCACAATACATTGCTCGAGATCCTATACGTATCACAATACATGCATGTGCTTTTTATCTCTGGTGAGTAAGCCATCATTTTCACAGACAAGACGGTCAAATACCTGGCACACTGATGATTTACAGTTGGCAGTGTCAAGTCTGGCGGAATGGATGAAAATATTTACATTTTCACCCCATTTTTTTCATATCAATTGGAGTTTGGTGTAACACTTGTTAAAGCAAATGTTTAAGGAATGAATGAATATATTTTTACACAGTGTGCGACTGTGATCGATATTTGTATTGTGGCGTAAAAAATCACAATCCACTGATGCATTGGTGTATCGTCCCACTACTACAAATTATCAAAAATAAACCCATCTTCATGAATGCACCTGAGCGTAAATGTTATGCGCCAATCAATAAATTATTCCGAGAGGCTGCTGCCTCGGTAGAACATTTTGTGTAAGTAAAATGAACTCAACGTAATCATGGTAATGAAGTATCTGGCATAATGCATTTCTTCAGATGTTCTTATATTCAGAGGTAGTTAAACATTGTATTCAATACAATAATGCCTCACACAGATGGTTATTGTGTTCAAGACCTTATCTCAGAATTGAGTCTAAATGCTTCTTGCTGACACATTGGGAAACAAGTAATATTTTGTTAAAACATTATTAAAACAAGATATTTAAAAAAAATTTATATACTGACTTATTTCAGACAGGTATGTTAACATTGCATTCAATAATGTAAACTAAGCATGAAAACTGTCTTCTCATTTTTGGTCCTCTATCAGTGAAATATGTGACACCTCTACAAACCTATATCATTAGTTAGAATATATTAATCATCTTCACATGAACTGAGAGTTTTGCGAATTTTTCTTACTTGGCTCTGATATAAGCCTCTGAGCAGATCTAGATAAATCCCTGGTGATAGGATTCATGGACATACAACTTGATACTGTTACATAGGATATAATTTGTCAGCAAATGTGTGTGTACATTTATTTAGAAGCTTTATTCCAGTAATTAATTAAATATGTTCCTCCATGAATATTGTCATGATGTTTATCACATGCTATTTAGGCTTCCATTCATCTGGGATAAATACTTGTGGACTCCAACAAGCCTCTTACTTTCCTATCGGGCCCCTAATACGTCTTCTATTTAATTTTAACCATAGTTCCAATGTTTAATTAGTTTCTAGGCTTCTACATATTTAGCTTGGATATATGAATATTAAATGATTATCACTGGGCGATGCTTCTCCAGGTCAAGGCAATGTTTCCATCATGTTCTATCTGTTTAGTTTTTACCTTCATATCAAATATAAACCCTCAACAGGTTCTACTATTACTGTTTAAACAGCTTCAGCGTTTAACTGACTAGAGTTACCTGCCCTTCACCCACTCATTCCGTTTTGATAACAAAAATAGATTTGCTATATCACTCCAAAAAGAGTATCAAAGGGAATTAAATCCGATATCCTTTACGGAAACAGTTCTGATCGTCACATGAGTAAGGACATTTATGTTTGTTTGTAAAAGTATTCACGGCACGCGTGAGGAAGCATGACCCGACTCCGAAAACAAAGGGCAAAAAAACCTCTCGAGACTCTGGAGGAAATCGTTTCAAAATGAAAATCTACAGGTTCGGTTATTACATGAACAATGTCTTACCCTTTTGCAGTTTTTGTGCAACCATGTTCTTGCACTATCAAACTGCGCGATAGTTTCTACGGCTTCAAAAAACTTGGCATTTGGAGCGCCGTCTTTCTTTCTTTGGAGCACCGCCATTTTCCCGGCGTGGGTCACTCCGCAGCAAATTACTGTGCATACTATTCTCCTAAGACATATCGCAAATGTATAGATGGCCAAATTTTGTTTCCACCACACTGGACATAATGTTCGCCGTAGCCATTAATAATTTTAGTGAAAAAAACAGGGATACGCGCAACAATAAACATAATTAATTATATTTAGTGAGCGAAACGGACAGAAAAATCGAAAATGTTTAACAGAGAGGCACTTCACAGCCTGACACTAGCAATGCTGTTACTTCGCTCTTAGTTGTTTTTGAAAATAGAAGCCCGCCATTTAATTATTTTCTTGTCAAAATTAAATCCAAGTACACTAACAATACGTAATATATGAGTTAACTATGTATTTGAATTAATTAAACAGTTTTCGCCAAATGCGGTGCCGTTTTCGTCAGAGAAATCGGTGACGTTTTGCTGAGGTGCCGTTTTAGCCTGCACTCTTTTCATTTATCACTGAACACAACCGTTTCGTCTCGGAAACAAATTCTGAGAGTGATTTAAATATCATTCACTTGATGAAGAAGTGAACATTTACTCCGAAATGTTTTGTTCCTCATAATAAAGAAGTTGACATCTATATATTATTTCTCTTGTGTGAATTCACTTCTAAATGTCATCAGGGACCCTATAATAAATTTACTTTTTTGGCCTCAAGTCATTTGAAGACTCGTGATTGTAAAAAAAGACGTTAATAATTTCTTTGAACAATATTTGACCCCTGTGAGGACACGCGTTAGACGAGATCACCAACACTCTATTGCTTGTCGAAAAAGGCGACCAAATGGATCGGGTGTCATGCCTGGTGACTGAGTTGGTTGCGTGTCGTCGTACTCCGATGGTTTGGATCATTGCTCGAGTTTTCAGCCACTGGTTTGCCTGTTCCAGATAAGTTTTACTGTTACATAGCGGGACTATTGCTCTTGTTAATCAACATTCCCTGACTCACTGACTCGTTCACGTTTGCGTTTTTTGTTTGTTGTTTAACGCCGCACTCAGCAATATTCTAGCTATGTGACGGCGGTCTGTAAATAATCGAGTCTAGACCAGACAATCCAGTGATTGATATCATGAGCATCGATCCATAAATTGGGATACAATGACACGCATGAACCATGTCACCGAGCCTGACCACCCGATCATGTTAGTCGCCTCTTACGACAAGCATAGTCGCCTTTGATGGCAAGCATGGGTTGCTGAAGACCTATTCTACACCGGATCTTCACGGGTCGCATTTTAGGTACACTTGGCTGAAGTACTTAATATTTTTCCTGTCTGATCAATTCATATTGTATCAAGTGAAATATGAATGACGACTGATGGGGATAGTTTTATCCTTCGCATTTCTCTGTGAATGTATGCCTTACCCCAGTAACTTCAGAAGCCTATGCACCTATTTCAGTAAACTTTAGGTGCTAAACTGGCGGGTGGGTGGGTGGGTGAGTGAGTGAGTGAGTGAGTGAGTGAGTGAGTGAGTGAGTGAGTGGGTGGGTGAGTGGGTGGGTGGGTGTGGTTTTACGCCGCTTTGAGCAATATTCCAGCAATATCACGGCGGGGGACACCAGAAATGGGCTTCACACATTGTGTCCATAAGGAAAATCAAACTCAGGTCTTCAGAGTGTTGAGCGAATGCTTTAACCACTAGGCTAAACCAACCACTAGGCTAAACCAATCACCAACAACCACCCCCCCCCCCCCCCCCAGTGAGTGAATGAGTGAGTGAGTGAGTTTACAATCTATGTCAAAGGTAGAACAAGATATATGTAAACAGAGCACCACAGCAGTGGATCAATGGCTACGCTGTCTACACAACAGGCCACCTGTTCCCAACCTATCAGATGCATCTGACAACAGTCTGGCTGCCAGGATCTCTTCTGTCCTAGAACTCCCATGTGCATGTTGAAATGACATGTGTGATGAGATTATTCACTCAATGTATGTGGAAATTTGAAAATTACCACCCTTTTCAAAATAAACAACATCTGACGACCCAGCTTGGTGAGTGAGTGAGTGAGTGAGTGAGTGTGTGAGTGAGTGAGTGAGTGAGTGAGTGAGTGAGTGAGTGAGTGAGTGAGTGAGTGAGTGAGTGAGTGAGTGAGTGAGTGAGTGAGTGAGTGAGTGAGTGAGTGAGTGAGTGAGTCTTTCCACCACATGGGGGAATCGGTCCTGGACGTTCAGTGTGACGTGCAAAAGTATTAACTATCAGACCACCACACCCCCTTCGCATGCATCAGGATCAACCATGAACCAACTCGAATCAATAATATTTGTGCTGTCAAATGCATTCTTGTTGGGGTTTCAGAAAAGATAAGATTGAGTACGCCGAGGTGATACTGTAGGCCTATATGTCAGTCATACAGACCCTGAAACAAACATATAAAAAACAGTCCATGAGAGTCTATAATAGTGGGCAAGTCTAGATTATTGCAGTATCTGAAAAGGAAGAGTCTCTGGGCTCCTTTTTATCATAGTTTAGTAAGATAATTTAACAACTGTACTTCTGTAGTCTCTCATTTTTTCCCATACATCGGTTTTCTTGATAACGTGAAAGGTCGATTCATCTGACGGTCGATCACGATGCACACTTATGTTAATAGTTGTACAGAAAATACTATATCAACTAATTCATTTGTGGGAGGGGTTGATTAAAATTTAGACAAAAGTTCAAATATTTTAAGAGCTATTACTTATACATAAAACAATATCTATATATCTATATATTTTATTTTGTATTTATTCATCAATGCGGAAACGGAAGTGCAGTGCGGCGACTGCATTTCCACGTCAGGAAAGACAACATGGAAGGAGGAATATTGGTATGTCAAAATTATCTGCATTATTTTAGTGAAATAAGTATGTTTTACTGCACCACTTAACTCTGAATAGACTCAATAGATGATGTGAAATGATATCCCTTCGCTGAACTGAAATGATGATAATACTTCATGACAAATATTCGTTCATATCGATGATCATGTCGTATACATGATACATGTCCAACACAGAACGTTTTACATTATACACCTTTTACCGGTCTTCAATATTTGCATACGTGTACAATACATCCTTATAAATGTGTACTCTTTCGGGCCAAATATTTTACACATAAGACATAAGTATGCCATGAATTATACTGGAATAACTTCCAAACTTGTATGGAAACATATTGTCGGAACGTCTGATTTCCCACGAACCGATTAGTATGACATGAAAATGGCTTCAAAAATAGGGATCTTTATAGTAACATCCGTTTATATAATCCAGAAGTTGTCACAACAAATACTGTGTTATGTAAACGACACATGTTAGTGAAATCGTTTTGATATTAATATTCAACTTATTTGCCTTTGTATTATTCATTATAATTCACTTGTCATCTTGGGTACAAGTTCTACAAGATGCCCGAAGTGTACCAAGGCAGTCAGAAAATAACAAACATGCCCTTGACTGTGACATCTGTAAATGCAGGACACACAGAACGCGTGGCGCAAACATGACCAGAGGGCACCAGCTTCAGCTTCAGCTTGTTGAAGAATGTGACTTTACACCATATACATGATATGCACATCTCCTATTAATTGTTTTTCTAAAAAGAATAAAATACTTTAAAACATGTAAAATATTCCAATACATTTTGTTTCAGGAACCCTCTCTGTACACGGTGAAAGCCATCACAATCCTTGACAATGATGGCAACAGATTGGTGGCAAAGGTAGAAAATATCCATACAATTAGAACCATAATGATAATTATATTCATAAACTAACTCTGGTCTTTATGAAGAGTTTTAGTAATATACAAATAGAAGAATGCCCATGGTTCTGTGGAAATTGTCAATTCTCATATGGGTTTGACAGGTGAATTTAGTGAAAAGGTGCACTGATGTATTGTTTTGTTTACTCACTAATTTATGGCTTCCCCACACACTGAAGGGTGTGTCTCTTTGGGTAAATTGATGTAGTACTTACATCCATAATTGCAAGTGAAAAGTTGTTTGTGTGAGCCACAGTTTATGATTAAAACCCTGGTAGTGTTCTGCAGACATTTCTAATTCCAACAGACTGGTCCACTTGAAGTGGTAAAAACGTTTTGAAATCTAATTTGGATACAAAATGTAGTTTATAGCAATACATTCCTCCCTTTGCAACTTGATAATGAAGCCTTTTACCTACTTCCTTTAACATTTGGCTCAACGTACTGATGAAAGTATTAATAGCACTTGCATGATGTGATTGGGGAGTATTTCACCAGTGTGTGTGAACTATGGGAAAGGTTACGTGTATGTTTGTATCTAGCACTTACTGATAGTTGTCATGTAAGGACCTTGTCACTTGAAATGTTTGTATGTTAAAATTGTTTCTTTGCAGTATTTTGATGACACCTTTCCAACAGCCAAAGAACAGAAACAGTTTGAAAAAAATCTGTTCAACAAAACACATCGAGCCAATGGTGAGTATGAAGACCCAAAAATGGACACTGCAAGCTAGCAGTTCTCACCCCAAATTTGGATTATGTCTAGAAACTTGATTTTTATTAACATATTCTTGATGTGCTTTTATTTCCCTCAGTATGTTTACCCTGGTGTAGACAGTTGACAGTAGTCTTCAATAAATCTTGCTCGTAAACAATCTTAGATAACACCATCATAACTATATGTCAATAGAATGTATCAAAATTTTGCCAACTCTACACCGCAATACTGTATGTTACCAAGTATAATCGACCACCTCCGTTCTCAAGTGGAAAGAGCTTCTCCATCGACAATTTACACATAAATAATGGACATTGGGCATTTTCTTATAAAGATTTACACTGCCGTTTTTATTCTTGATGTTAACATTGACCCGTGTGTTTGCCATGATTGCAATGACTAAACTTGTAGAGGTGGCCTTCTGACATCATTATCTAATGCACATCTTTCCCCTATTCTAATTGTTAACACTTTGTTTATTAATTGACACGTAATTGATTTATTGATCAAATCAGTTCACATTTTAATGAAATGAGTTCACTTGCAATATCCCCCTCTGTTTACCATAACATGGGAGAACTGACTTACTTCCAACACCCGTCAGTGGAACACTGTGTCGCTTAATCCTCCTTTCTTTTGTCTGACTGACTTTGTTTTAAGGATTGACTGTGTATTTTTTTCGGTTCATTGAGGTATGAATCGAAAAGCCGATATGCAAACTGTATGAATCCACGTAGCGGATTCTTACAAAAGTTTGCACATCGGCTTTTCGATTCATACCTCAATGAACCGAAAAAATATATACAGTCAATGCTTATAATTAAATTCGACAACGTAAAACATGTTTTATCTACAATAGTTGAACCCAAAACAGTTGCATATATCAAAACAGACAAAAATGACGACATTGATAAACATTCCAGGTGTAGGAATACATACAGTGGCGTGACATGAATCAGGTGATCGTTTAATTTATGCACATAACTTGACACGCCTACACAGTCAGTAGCCAATCAACGGAGAGTGGGATTTAAACAATGTTCATTTGACCTGTCAATTAAGGCAAGAGGCGAAAAGAACTGCAACAGTCAGACTGTAACGAACCGGAAGAAATATGTCCGAGAGAAGGCGGCAGTTTCAAATAACATGGTCATTTACTGCGTGATTCAAACATTACTTCCCTGATTACGGTAAATCACAGTTGGAGAAATGCTAGTTATAAATGAAACCCGAAGACATGAAAGTTGAACCGGGGCGAGCGAGAAAAAAACAGGCGAGCAAGCCTGCACGTTTGCTGTTTCATTCATTCTCGGCCTTCGGTTTCAAAGGGTAGTTTGGACAATGAATATGCATGAAAGTCGCTAAATGTCCTGTGCATGACGATACACATGAGCAGAAAGGGAATTCCCTCGACTGTAATATTGGGATTCCCCGACATTCCGAAGTAATAAAAGTAGTGCGCCGCGGTGGGCGTGGCTTAATTTTTTACATTCATTGGGAAATGAATGCAATAACATGTGACCAATTCAGCTAATCAGAATGCAGGAATTTCCATGAACACAACGAAAATTTAATTATATTTTATTGAATGTTGGGAAAAAGCAGATACGCTATGCTAAGAAGTACCGTTAACAAGGGTACTGTTATCAATTACTTCTTAGGTATTATAGTGAAGTTGTTATACAACTACATGTATACTTGGTATAAAGATCTCCATTTAGACAGACAGTTTATCGTTTCTTGATATTTGTTCTTTTTATTTGTTCCAGCGGAAATTATAATGTTCGAGGGTCTCACATGTGTCTATAAATCAAATGTTGATTTATTTTTCTATGTCGTTGGGTCTACACAAGAAAATGAAGTAAGTAAATCTTGTGTTATACACCAAATACTAAAATCAGGTACATTGATAGTACAGTCAAATCTTGTTGTGTCGAGCTTGGATATGCCAAATTCCAGGTTGCCCTGATCTCACCTTCCAGTCCCTGTGACTTCCTCCTATGCTTATCATTATTTATGATACTCGGATCTGTTTAACTGGATATGTTGAATTCCAGGTAGTTTCGAATTCTTTTGGGAGTCCCAAGTATCCAAATTAAGAATAAAACTCCCCTGATCATGCTTATCAAATTCAAAATGTAAAATACACACGCCTCAACTTGCCTAACTTTCAACTCACTACTGACTTCACTGCAATTGCTGTTATTACATCAAAGGCAGGAGGGGACACAGGTCGTCTAAGGTGCCACGATTCGCTGAGCAGAGTTGTGTCCCTTGGCTCGCCAGAAACCTATGATTGTGGGTTCGAATCCCTGTTTGCCTCATTATGTTTCTTCTTTTTACCGAAGTGGTAAACGTCTGACCTGCATCACTTCCGGCATCACTTCGGGCTTTCCTCCCGCAATAAGCTGATACACTGTGATATAACTAGAATATTGTTAAAAGTTGCGCTAAACCAAACTCACTCACTCAAAGGCAGGACGCTTTCTGACAAGCCAGTCTAATTAACAAGCACACCTTACATGAGAAGTGCAAGCTGATCACTGAAAACCCATCAGCAGCAAGTTACTGACATGTTCTCAGATGGGGACAGTGAGATTGATGCTATCCCTTAGTTGCCGCCCCCTTCACTACCAGCAACCTGGGCACGTTGCTATATAAGTGCAATAATCTTGGACACGACATTAAACCCCATTTCACCTCACCTCGACTCACCAGCAACCTGGGCAAAGACATATACTTACACCTTGAAGTCTAGTGTTGCGCTCCAACCTGGTAATAATAATCACATAACATGATGTTTTGTTTTAAAAAATTCGCTTTCTTGATGTCTTGAACCCCGGACAACTCAAACTTTTTTTCGAGGTCCCCAGGAGTTTGACACAACGAGGTTTGACTATATTTAGAACAATGCAACGGTTGATCATTATCTTTTGTTGTATGTGACCAGATGAACAGGCTTTCCCTATACTGACAATCTGACCTAAAAAGGAAATAGGTTTAATCATGTTAATCATCATTGAACTTTCATGGGGATGTCCAAACCAAATTTGGCTGCCTCTGGTGGTCTGGTGGATAGAGCCTCTGCCCTGAGAGCAGAAGGTCGGTGGTTGTTCCCCGGCTGCTTCATACACAAACACGTTAAGAGATGGTACTTGTTGTTACCCTTCCCTGCGCTTGCCATTCTTGGTTTGTTGTTTAATGCCGTACTCAGCAATATTCCAGCTGTATGACGGCACTCTGTAAACAATCCAGTAATTGACATCATGGGCATCGATCCACGCAATTGAAATACGATTGACATGCATCAACCAAGTCAGCGAGCCTGACCACTCGATCCCGTTAGTTGCCTCTTATGACAAGCATAGTCGCCTTTTACTGCAAGCATGGGTTACTGAAGACCTATTCTACCCCGGATCTTTATGGGTCCGCTTGCCATTAAGTGGATGAAACAAGGACTAGTCGGCTCAGAGTCAGTATACTGATTGGGTTATCCATGTTAAAATGAAGCATGGTATCTCAGTGGGCTAACACTATAAAACTGCATTAGTCTGGACTAGTAAGAGTAGCTACACACACGTGCATGCATGTCGCTATTTGTGTGTAATAATTTTGAACATGATGTTAAACCCCATTTCACCCCACCTCACATTCTTAATTTCTAAAAGCACATAATTGAACAGAACATGAAACATGTTGAACTTTTTTGGGGATTGGAATGTAAACTTTGGGTTCCATTTAACATTCTAATTTTCCAAACTGCACATTGTCGGTTTTATATTATGTAATTGTAAGGCTTAAAAAAATTAAAGAACTGGTTCTCAGTCAAGGACGTCTGAAAATATAGTGAGGGCGAATCTTTTAATTTTTTTGGGCTTGTTCAAACTAACTTCTTTGAGAGGCATTTAGAACTTGGAGTACTAAGAAGACTTTCTTTGTTCAAACTAGTATGTAACCATGGTAACCAAATAAACAGTTGTGTACCACCAACCTGGGAAAGGGCCTCCCTACATAAACAAGCATATACACTCCGATTGCCGCCATGACCATAACACAAAGCAGTCCGCATTGAAGGGAAGTTACTGGGTGCTATATTGGATTACATTGTTTTCAAATATTAGACTTGTGAAGATCCGGGGTAGAATAGGTCTTCAGCAACTCATGCTTACGATAACAGGCGACTATACTTGTCGTAAGAGGCGACTAATGGGATCGGGTGGTATGGCTCGCTGACTTTATGATGATGCGGGCAGTGCCTGAGAGTGAGTGAGTTAGTATGGTTTTACGCCGCTTTTAGCAATATTCCAGCAATATCACGGCGGGGGACACCAGAAATGGGCTTCACACATTGTACCCATGTCGGGAATCGAACCCGGGTCTTCTGTGTGACGAGCGAACGCTTTAACCACTAGGCTACCCGACCGCCCCCAGTGCCTGAGAACCAAGACCCTTATTATTTTGAGCCTAACTCAATGAAATGTTGAAAGAAGCCAGACCACCATCCCTTCCTTTGAACTAGAAATGATTGTTCCTTTCTGCTTTGTTTCAGTTAATACTAGCAAGTGTTCTGAACGCCCTGTATGATGCTGTGAGCCAGATCCTACGGAAGAATGTAGAGAAGCGAGCCTTGTTGGAGAACCTAGATGCAGTGTATTTGGCTGTGGATGAAATCTGTGACGGAGGGTAAGCAGCACACAGATGGTGTCAATGTCACACCAACCTTCTTCATTTTTTGACTGCAGCCTTCGAAATTCATGCTTGTCTTCTAGCCCGCGACTACTAACTTGTGCTGAAGACAATTAATAATCCAGTGATAATAGTCCTTATTGACGAGTAGCACTTCAAGCTGATTACCGTATTCCAGGGTAAAATTATGCTTCAATTTTGAGCTGAATAAAACCAACAGAAAATGTTAACAAGACAAGTTTTCAGTCATATGCTAATCAGATGTTACCCGAAACAGCATGTGAGTAGAGTTATATTAAAAAAGTCAACTCATCAGTTTACGAAACACAACAGACTGTACCCAAGGAAGTTAAAAAAAAAAATACAGTGAATACCCAAAGAAAACTGTCAATACCCAATATGAATGATACCTTGTGAGGTAATACTCAATGGCTCTAAAGGGGGCACGGGTGGCCCAGTCGTCTAAGGCGCCGCGTTTCGCTGTGCAGAGTTGCGTCCCTTGGGCACGCCAGAAACCTATGATTGTGGGTTTGAATTCCAGTTCGCCCCGATTATGTTTCTAGGTTTGTCAGCACCATACCCGTGCTCGTGGGTTTCACCGAAGTGGTAAACGTCTGAGACCTGCATCACTTCGGGCCTTCCTCCCACATTAAGCTGACACGCTGTGATATAACTGGAATACTGTTAAAAGCGGCGTTAAACCTAACTCACTCACTCAATGGCTCTAAAGGTTTCCTGGAGCCCTGCATTTATGATCCGTCAACTAGCATCTCATTGGTATGATATTCTCTTTCATTGTATGTAACCAACTGTTACCATGTTTTGTTCACATAAAACATATTAAAAATACTGAATTATAAAATCTGTTCATGTGATCCATGGGCATTTGAGAGCTTCGATATTCAGTTCAATAACCTCCACTCAGTGATGCTAAAAAAATAATTAGTGGCAGGACCCACTATATGGCGTTGCTTCCCTTTGCCAGAGTCTGTTGCCCTGATTATGAATGTTGCTTTGTCAGCCCCATGTTAGTGGTAGGTTTTTCCAAAGTGGTAAATGTTTTTTACCTCTTTCACTTTAGTTTTCCTCACATAATATATGCTCACATGCCAGCTATAGGTCTAAACAATATTATTTTTTAACTTATCCTGCATTACTCCGTATTGCATTTACTGCTATGTTTGACAGAGAGACGAACTGTGTGAGATCCAGCTGCTGAAGAAAGTTGTCCCAACCAGCCCAGGAGGCAGCGCCCTCTCACAGTCGGCACGTGACCCGGAAGTCATGACATCACACAAAAAGACATAACTGCTTTGTCACCTCCACGGACGGACGTACTTTGTATCCCTTGTGGAAATTAAAGCTTATTATTTGTTTTTTATATTTTGCGTGTTTCTACATTCATTATATGCTGCTACATTGTTACCTGTTATGGGCCGTGACCTTAGGGTCTTCCCATTCGTAAATTGTAACGTTTATCGCTCGTCTGTGGCTCACGTCACAGTAATTTACAGGCGCAATGTTGTTCCCGCCATTTTGTTTTCTTTCCCGCCATTTTGGCCATTCACCACGTGGCCACGTAATGTCGTGATCTGCGTTTTGAATTCTCTCTTTGGCTTGGGTAATACATTACATTTATGTATGTTGTTTTGGTGTGCTTAAAGCCTTGCCTTTTCGCTACCTCTAAGCGTAATTGTTTCTTCTCATAAACTTCAATATAATACGAAGTTTATGAGTTACATTATGTCTCCCGTACTCTGTGGTTTTGCCACATGGTTACGTGTTTGCTTAAGGCTTTGCCTTTTCGCTCCCTTTTAGCGTACTTGTTTATCTCATAAACTTTAATAAAATATACTGTTTTTGAGTTACTTTATGCTTCCCATACTTTGTGATTGGCCACACATTATGCTTCCCGCACTTTGTGGCTTTGCCACATAGTTATGTTTTGCTTAAATTCCAGATTTTCTGCCTCGCTGCACTTGTTGCCGCGGGAACAAATCTGGCCGGGGCCGCCCCTTTCTGCCGTGATTGTACGACGCCCTGTACTTTCACAAGGCAGTGCCGATGTTGCAGTCATTCGTGGCTGTGATCCTTCAGCTCATGCGAGTATCCAGGACACACCTCGCTCAACGTGCTCGTCGACCCCCACCTACGTTGACGGCAGCAGCGCTCAGCGGAGCTTCACGGCGGCTCCCAACGTAGAGTCTGCCTCCCATGGCACGACATACGACCGTTCACGGTCTCCTACTCCACTGGCGGCTCCAGCGCTCCCAACGTAGAGTCTGCCTCCCCTGGCACGACATACGACCGTTCACGGTCTCCTACTCCACCGGCGGCTCCAGCGCTCCCAACGTAGAGTCTGCCTCCCCTGGCACGACATACGACCGTTCACGGTCTCCAACACCGTCAACGCTGATGTCTCCGGCGCTTCTGATGACGCGGCGCCTCCGGCGCCTCTGATGACACGGCGCCTCCGATGTCACGGCGCCTCCGATGACTCGGCGCTCCCGGCGCCTCTGATGACTCGGTGCCTCCGGCGCTTCCGATGACTCGGCGCCGCTGATGTCTCGGCGCTCAACAAGCTTCATGACTTGTTCATGACAAGCTGATGACTCGGCGCTCCCGGCGCCTCCGATGACTCGGCGCCGCTGATGTCTCGGCGCCTCTGATGTCTCCGCGCTCCGGCGCCTCCGCATCCTCTGATGTCTTCGGCGCTCAACAAGCTTCAGATCAACAAGCTTTATCAAGCTCAGATCAACGAGCCGACCATCCGATCTTCTACTGCGGCTTAAGGGGCACCATCGGCAATCGCCTCCCCGGCGCCACTGCCCTCTTCTCTTGCTGCCGTCTCATAACTCGTCACACGGAGAAGCATGGTGAAACAACTGTCGCCGCTCCTGTCGCTACTCTCCCATCGGTCTTCGGGATCGTGACTATCGTACTACTTCCTGGGTGGAATCATTTCAACCAATAGACAGTTGGTCTGATTCAACTTGCCCACTGAGACGTTATCCATAATCCCGTCGTTTAAAGCGCTATGATTCCGGAGAGATGACCTGCGGGTTTCCAACGAAACAGAGCGTCATGTGAACAGCGTCTGTATCAGATTCGATGACGACATCCACTTACAAAGAGTTTACTTCGTCGACATCGCAGACATCAACGCTGTTCTACCCTACCCTAGCGCCAGCGCTCCTGAGAGAGACTCTTCCTCGGCGCTCCCCGGGTTTTACACGACGCCCATGGGGTTCCGTGTTTTATCGCAAAACTCGGGTACACCACTTGATCGTCTCTCACACAGTTCATTGAGGATTGTCTGTGTGTGGAGTTTGCACCTCAGTTCCGACTCCAAGGCGGTTTTCTCGGCTACTGCGCAGAGTGATTTACATGTCACGTGTCAAGTACTCGGACTGTCAACAACTCCGACCGGATTTAGGTCAACTTACCATGGCAAGGGGTGCCATGTATTTCTACAGATTGGTTTCCATGTCTACCTGTACGCTTGGTGATACCACTCAACCAGGCGCCTGTCGCAGTCCATCCATGCACGGATGTTGGAAACAATAGACCTCCTCTACCAACACGGCTGTCACGAGGAACCTTGTTTCATCAACCCTTCGCTATAAGAACGATAGCGCCTATAGGCGTTCAAGGGATGGAAAAGATCGCCTTCCTTCGTCCGGTTTGATCTTTTCGACTACGACACCTTCCTATCTTCCGCCTTGACTACCGGACACAGTGTCGATTTGATACTTAAAGTCCCTCGGCCGTCCCACTGACCCCTGTTGCATACCTGCCTCGTATCGTGTTGTCGTCCTCCATCGTCACCTCGATATAAGAACAGGAGTACTTATACGCCGCTTCAGGGATGAAAACGATCTCTCTTCGTGCAATGGCCATATTGCCTCGACTTCCTACTACCCGGTTACGTCGATGCCCCGGCGGTCGATTGTGAAGCTAGTTTACTTCGTCTACTTGAGGTTGGCTCGCAGGCGATCACACCTTTTTCCGAATCGTACCGACGGTACGCAATCGCAGACCCCTGTTGCTGACTACCTCCCCTGCCACCTTGTCAGTGGCTAGTGGCCCACGCCAGCCCACATTGTGACCACCTGTGATCCAGAGATCAACACCATAGGCACAGCAACAGCCTCGAGATAAATGCTTATCCAGGACGGCACTTGCTGACAGTGCATTCTCGGTCACGCCCTGTTGATCGTGTCCACTGACGACGTCACCGTAGTGTGGTGTTTGCGGACCCAGAGTTCTCGCCCCTCTCCCGGCGCTACAAACTCGACCGGCGCCCCCGAGAATCACCATCTTAGGCGTTCCAGGCGCCTCAAGCTCTCCGACGCCTCACGCTCTCCGGCGCCTCGGGCCAGACTATGTGAAACGGTCGACACCCCAACCCTAGATCTGTTTGCCTCATATCTGAATGTGGCCAGCAGTCGTCTTCCATTCCACCTGTGCCGGATACGACCGCTGTGGCAGTCGAAGCCTTCCATCGTTCCTGAGAAGGATTACGCGCGTACGATTTTCCGACTCCGGTTCTCCCTCCCACGGTTCTTCAGAGATCCAGGCCACTCGACCCCTGCCATTGACTTTGGTCTCGCCTTATTGGTCAGCCAGAAGTTTGGTTATCGACCTCCGAAACATAGCCAGAGACAACCCCTGGAACTTCCTGTGTGGTCCAACCACACGGCCTGTTGCCACACCCTCATACCCGCATGTTATCGTCTGCACGCCTGACACACATGCAGAAAGCCAAGGGCTATTCGGCTAGAGCGACCAAGGCTATTGCTTCAGCCCACCGTCCATCTACAGGGGGACTGTATGCTGATAAATGATGCTTGTTCCAGGCATTTTGTTCTGACAAACACCAGGATCCGATGACAGCGTCACCGCAGATTCTGGATCAGTTCCTTCTGTACTTGTGTAGCACCCGTCGGTTGAAGGGCTTACCACCCCCACATACCTGGTCGCCATCTACTCCGTTCTGGCCATCCTGGACGATCGGAGAAAGATGAAAATTCCCGACCTACGGGCCTGGCTGCGCTCGTTCAGTCTTGAAGACCTGAATACCAAGTTCGGACCGCCTGCGTTGGATCTGAATGTGGTCTTCAACGCCCTTCGAACCACTCCCCTCGTCTTCCTTCTACGACCTTAAGTAGAAGACGGGTGTTTCTACTGGTTTTGACTACTGCCGCTCGAGTCCATGTACAGCACGCCCTCGACGTCTCCCATGCCCGGTTCGAATGCGGTACCCAGGGCGCCGTTCATCATGGACCGTACTGGGACGTCGGCGTAAAGACTCAACTCCCAGGACAGCCTGATAGATCATTCCTTGTCCCGTCCCCCCTCGTCCAGTGTGGGTGCCGAGGATGAGGATGAGCGTCATTATGCCCAGTAAGGGCAGTGAAGGTTATTCTACGATCTAAAGACTGCCGCAAGTCTAGGAAACACCTTTTTCTGCCGGTCTCCCCTTCGTCGCTGTCGTTGGTCAGCCGGAATACTTTTCCCTGTGGCTCCGGGCGGTCATCCTTAAAGCGTATGAGCCGCCGGATTGGACCCTCCCCCCAAAGGCTATTACCTGAAATAAAATGAGATCAGGGCGATCGTATTTAAACTGGTTCTTCACGGTATACTGTTCCATCCCGTCGTTCAGGGAAGCCTGTTTGTGGCGATCGGACACCGCCTTCACCAACCACTACTTCAGTGATGTAGCCTTGAAAGTTGTCGCCAGCGTTCACAGTTTTGGTCCCTGGTTGTAGCCCAACAGGTCATCTATCTCCGACGCCACTGATTCTCCGATACCCTGAGCGGGGCCCGTCGACCTCTCTGGTGTTTATCACCCCAGACGAGACGGCTCTCTTGCGTTCCGCATTCGCTCTTAGGTCAGTTTTAGTTTTGGGTTACCCGACTCATTCTATTGCTGTCACCTATCCGGGTTTTACTTTTTGCATCAACTCTCGTTTCCTGACGACAGGAATGGTAGTAGATGTGGACACCGGCGCCGACGCCAACGCCGCTGTTTCTCTGGTACCTGAGCGGTGCCCGTCGACCTCACCGGTGTTCCTTGCCTCCAGCCTAGAGGGCTCTCCTGCGTTTCGCATTCGCTCTTGGGATTGGTCGTAGATTTTGCCGCCGACGCCGCTGATTCTTCGATTCCCCGAGCGGGGCCCGTCGAACTCTCTGGTGTTTATCACCTCAGATTAGAGGGTTCTACTGCGTTTCGCTTTCGCTCTTCGGTAAGTTATATATTTTGGCTACACGCCTCATTGTATGTCGGTTACCTATTCGGGCGTTTCGTTTTTGCATCGACTCTTGTTTCCTGAAGACAGGAATGGTCGTAGATGTTCCGGTCGTCACTTGTATGCGGTGCGGATTCATCGGACCTTGACGAGGGTTTAATATGGTTCACATCTGCAGGTATGCCCACCAGCCAAGCCGTCTGATAAAGATGCAATACGGAGTAATGCAGGATAAGTTAAAAAATTTAGTAAAATCTAAATATTTTTTACATTTGTATACTTATCCTGCATTACGAAGTCTAAGTGCCCTCCCTTTCGCTACGCTACCTCCCCACGAAGTTTCAGATGTTATGTTTAAAGCAGTTATGTCTTTTTGTGTGACGTCATGACTTCCGGGTCACGTGCCGACTGTGAGAGGGCGCTGCCTCCTGGGCTGGTTGGGACAACTTTCTTCAGCAGCTGGATCTCACACAGTTCGTCTCTCTGTCAAACATAGCAGTAAATGCAATACGGAGTAATGCAGGATAAGTATACAAATGTAAAAAATATTTAGATTTTACTAATATCCTCAAAAACAAAAACTTAATAGGTCAATAGACAAAATGCCTATTTTAAGATCTCCCCATTACATTATATAGTAAACTATGGTTATAAGGAACTCAAAGGGGCCACAAACATCAGTTTGTTATAACCGCAGTTCTTTACCAGCATATAAACAGCAAATGGCCGGGACCAAAACATAAGTTTGTTATATCCGTCAGTTCATTATAAACGTGTTTGTTATAAATGTACGGTAGTTTACTGTACTGAATATTTGTAAATACAACACATAGGGGTGTGCAATATACCTGGTATACTGACATATTGACATATGGCTGTCAGCAATACACCTATTACAATACAAGCTTTGAGTGTCAATGTTTTCCGGTATAGTCACAGAAGAATTAATGTATTATTATATAAATTATATCTACTCTCTTGAGGCATTTGGATGGACTGGGTTCCTATCTAAACCATGTAATCAGCACAAGCTTCACATTAACATTCCATACTGATGATGTATTAGGTGGTCTCCTTTATCCATACTACAGGGGCGGTCGGGTAGCCTAGTGGTTAAAGCGTTCACTCGTCGTGACAAGGACCCTGGTTTGATTCCCGAAATGGATACAATGTGTGAAACCTATTTCTGGTGTCCCCCGCTGTCATATTGCTGGAATATTGCTAAAAGCGGCGTAAAACCATACTCATTATCCATACTACACATCTTGCAATCTGAAGTCGGGTTTATTAAATGAAAAAATACCATTTGAACAGTACAAATATGTATTATTTGGGCCCCAATACGTATTGCAATTTAATACTTGCCTGTGAAGAGATCGGCCATTTAATAAACATATAAGCTGTATTGCACATTGTGTAAATACCAAAGCACATGCTTATGCACCGCGTGAACACGTTTTACGAACAAATATTGAAAACTCCCAACATCCCTGGGCTTATTCAACGACATGGCATGTTGAGATGATAGATCACTGAGAGGAGCTTATTCACACTTGATGACCCCAGCATCCCTGTTGCTAGGCTGACATCACATGGCATTGATTTGCTGGCGGATCTTGCAACAAAATTACACTAATGATGACATAGGGTATTGTGATGTGTTTGTAAACTTTGTGGTGCGGGGACCCGTTCCACAGCGCGATCATAGCGCATGACAGTGTATGTTAATGTATGGGAGTTACAATCGCCATAGAGCTACGATTACTTACTCCTGAATTCTAAAAGTAGGCCCTTGTATTGTATTATATTAATACATGTAAACTTTTGACATGTTTGGAGTGTTATTCTGTTAAACTCAATTGGATTAAGCTGTGGATCACATAGATGTCTGCCTATTCACACACAACAATGAAATTTAAAAAAAGTTATCAATGGCAAGTAATAACTAAAATACTCAACTCGCTCCCGTGTAGTTCCAATCTTATGAAACTCGTGAATAGCTCTGGTATCTGACTTGCTTACGGCATCACCATTCACTTGTTTAAAAAAATTGATCTTAACCGTATCTCAATACATCTCTCTCTATTGAGATATATTGCAATACGATTTATGTGCCAGTATGCCAATGCAAACAACATTATGTGGGTGCGATCAAATATATGCATAGCATAATGCTCATTGCTGTATATGCATATTAATATTCTACAAATATTCTGAAGCTAACTAAAATAACTTGTGAGGGTGAAATAATCATGGACAGCTTCAATTATTGTCCAGCTGTAACTGACACACCAATCATGATAATGTGTTTGATTAAAAGGTTAATTTTCATATATTCTGAAGCAATCCTTGTGATGTGGCTCCCTTGTGACGGTGGAAGTCAAGAGTTATTCCCCTTTGTTGAGCAGTCTGACATCTTTGTATTTGTTCATAGGGTTCTTTGTCAGAGGTGTACAGACTGTGCAAGCTGTTTTCTGTTACCAGAGAAAAAGATTGTTAAAACTCAGATTTATTTTGTTATTATCGTGATGAACCATTTGCCAACAATTTGGAGTATCTGTCGTTCTGGCAATTACGAAAATTAAATCATTCACACTCATGGTTTCAGAATTGTTTTGGAAGCTGATTCTAACGCCATTGTACAGAAAGTCGCAATCAGGACAGACGACATTCCCCTGGGAGAACAGACCGTGGCTCAGGTGAGTGAAATGCAAGAACTTCAGTGGGTTTCGATATCAAGGACATTATTATTGTTGTTGTTGTCGTTATCATTATCATTATCATTATCATTATTATTACAGATCCTTTCCCTATCTCCCAATAGTTGGTTTTTCAAATGTTTACCGCTTTGGAATTAAAATAATGCCTCTTTTGGTATGGAGACTTAATTCTGTAAAGTGCATGCTGGGAAGGTATCCCATTTTGCTTTCTTGTAGGAGTTTCTGATACTAGAAAATTGTTGTTTTAACGAGGGCTGCTGTTGGCTGTCTATTGGGTGACAATTAGTTCTCGTCAGTTTTATCATCATGCTTGAGGGAATATTAAATGCCTGCAGTGGTTGGGTTTCTGAACCTGGTTGGTGCGTATGTTTGTTGTGAGGGTGAGCGCTACTTGTAGAGATACTTGGAGACATTTGTGTCTATTGGTTTGTAGAAACAGACAGACAACAGTTATTTGTCTGATGAAAGACAATTAATTTGATAGAACCACTGTCTGTGGGTAATGCATGTAGATGAAGTAAATGGCTTGTAATGCCTCAAATAATGACCATTGAGGGCGGTGGGGTAGCCTTGTGGTTAAAACGTTTGTTTGTCACACAGAACACCTGGGTTTGATTCTCCACATGGGTACAATGTGTGGAGCCCATTCCTAGTGTCCGCCGCCATGATGTTGCTGGAATATTGCTAAAAGCAGTGTAAACAATACTCACTCACAATGAACATTTGAACATAGCATACTGTTGTTCTGCACACTGGCAGAAGATGAATTTGTAAAGATTTTTTACTTGGTGAGAAAATTCATGAGAAGTTAAATTTATTATTTGAAGTGTTTTCATGAATTCGTATGATTTCTAGCTTATCATGGAAAAAAGGTAAATGATTTTCCCGAGATAAATGTAACAGTGAATTTTTTATCTACTTCATTTGTGATACCACCCCCTATCGGGGATCCCTGGCAAGAAAACACCCCTAACAACCTCCCAACACCCAAGGGACTTAGTGAATCAGTAGTATAGGGTCGATGACTTGGTTGATGTCTTACCCTAAACACTCTGAGGGACTTAATAAATCAGTAGTTCAGGGTCTATGACTTGGTTGATGTCTTACCCTGAACACTCCAAGGGACTTAATGAATCAGTAGGTCCGGGTCGATGACTTGGTTGATGTCTTACCCTAAACACTCCGAGGGACTTAATGAATCAGTAGTTCAGGGTCGATGACTTGGTTGATGTCTTACCCTGAACACTCCAAGGGACTTAATGAATCAGTAGTTCAGGGTCGATGACTTGGTTGATGTCTTACCCTGAACACTCCAAGGGACTTAATGAATCAGTAGTTCAGGGTCGATGACTTGGTTGATGTCTTACCCTAAACACTCTGAGGGACTTAATGAATCAGTAGTTCAGAGTCGATGACTTGGTTGAAATCATGTCTTACCCTGAACACTCCAAGGGACTTAATGGATCAGTAGGTCCGGGTGGATGACTTGGTTGAAATCATGTCTTACCCTGAACACTCCAAGGGACTTAATGGATCAGTAGGTCCGGGTCGATGACTTGGTTGATGTCTTACCCTAAACACTCCGAGGGACTTAATGAATCAGTAGGTTCGGGTCGATGACTTGGTTGAAATCATGTCTTACCCTGAACACTCCAAGGGACTTAATGGATCAGTAGGTCCGGGTCGATGACTTGGTTGATGTCTTACCCTGAACACTCCGAGGGACTTAATGAATCAGTAGTTCCGGGTCGATGACTTGGTTGATGTCTTACCCTAAACACTCCGAGGGACTTAATGAATCAGTAGTTCCGGGTTGATGACTTGGTTGATGTTTTACCCTAAACACTCCGAGGGACTTCATGAATCAGTAGTTCCGGGTCGATGACTTGGTTGATGTCTTACCCTAAACACCCCGAGGGACTTAGTGAATCAGTAGTTCAGGGTCAATGACTTGGTTGAAATCATGTCTTACCCTTAACACTCCAAGGGACTTAGTGAATCAGTAGGTCCGGGTCAATGACTTGGTTGATGTCTTACCCTAAACATCCCGAGGGACTTAGTGAATCAGTAGGTCCGGGTCGATGACTTGGTTGATGTCTTACCCTAAACACTCCGAGGGACTTAATGAATCAGTAGTTCCGGGTCGATGACTTGGTTGATGTCTTACCCTAAACACTCCGAGGGACTTAATGAATCAGTAGGTCCGGGTCGATGACTTGGTTGATGTCTTACCCTAAACGATCCGAGGGACTAAATGAATCAGTAGTTCCGGGTTGATGACTTGGTTGATGTCTTACCCTAAACACTCCGAGGGACTAAATGAATCAGTAGGTCCTGGTCGATGACTTGGTTGATGTCTTACCCTAAACACTCCGAGGGACTAAATGAATCAGTAGTTCCGGGTTGATGACTTGGTTGATGTCTTACCCTAAACACTCCAAGGGACTAAATGAATCAGTAGTTCCAGGTTGATGACTTGGTTGATGTCTTACCCTAAACACTCTGAGGGACTTAATGAATCAGTAGTTCCGGGTCGATGACTTGGTTGATGTCTTACCCTAAACACCCCGAGGGACTTAGTGAATCAGTAGTTCAGGGTCAATGACTTGGTTGAAATCATGTCTTACCCTTAACACTCCAAGGGACTTAGTGAATCAGTAGGTCCGGGTCAATGACTTGGTTGATGTCTTACCCTAAACATCCCGAGGGACTTAGTGAATCAGTAGTTCCGGGTCGATGACTTGGTTGATGTCTTACCCTAAACACTCCAAGGGACTTAATGAATCAGTAGTTCCGGGTCGATGACTTGGTTGAAATCATGTCTTACCCTAAACACTCCGAGGGACTTAATGAATCAGTAGTTCCGGGTCGATGACTTGGTTGATGTCTTACCCTAAACACTCTGAGGGACTTAGTGAATCAGTAGTTCCGGGTCGATGACTTGGTTGATGTCTTACCCTAAACACTCCGAGGGACTTAATGAATCAGTAGTTCCGGGACGATGACTTGGTTGATGTCTTACCCTAAACACTCCGAGGGACTTAGTGAATCAGTAGGTCCGGGTCGATGACTTGGTTGATGTCTTACCCTAAACACTCCGAGGGACTTAATGAATCAGTAGGTCCGGGTCGATGACTTGGTTGAAATCATGTCTTACCCTGAACACTCCAAGAGACTTAGTGGATCAGTTGGTTAGGGTCGATGACTTGGTTGATGTCTTACCCTTAACACTCTGAGGGACTTAATGAATCAGTAGGTCCGGGTCGATGACTTGGTTGAAATCATGTCTTACCCTGAACACTCCAAGGGACTTAGTGGATCAGTTGGTCAGGGTCGATGACTTTGTTGATGTCTTACCCTAAACACTCCGAGGGACTTAGTGAATCAGTAGGTCAGGGTCGATGACTTGGTTGATGTCTTACTATGTCTTATCATGTTTTTCAGCAGAGTGGTAGACAAGACACTCAGTACTTCATATAAAGGTGCTTCACAGCATTATACACAAGGGAGGTCACAATTCACCAGTACACCAGTTCATCGATAATATTCTTAGATAATATGATACATGATACACCCTGGATAGATTCATATTTTGATCCTGTATCATATCACACATGGAACATTTAAAACGGCAATGGAATGACTTTGTAAGCAAAATGGCCGCGTCAAACCAAAAGACGTAAAAAGATGGTACTTGTTGTCACCCTGTCTGGCTCTCGGCATTAAGGGGCTAAAACAAGCAAGGACTGGTCGGCTCGGAGTCAGTCTCCTGTGTCTGAGAGGGGTATTCATGTTAAACTGCGGCATGGTATCTCAGCATGGCTATCACTATAAATCGGTATCAGTCCAGACTAGTACAAACAGCCACACACACACGCATACACATGTTCATGCACGTCGCTGTATAAGTGCAATAATCTTGGACGCGATGTTAAACCCAATTTCACCTCACCTCACCTCACCTCACCTCACCTCACCTCACCTCACCTCACCTCACCTCACCATTATACACCCAGGCATCTGGAATGAAACACGGCTGCACATGTATACAATTTACCATTGGGTTCTGTGGGCGAAAAAATGCATGGCATGAAAGTGTGAGGCAACTGGATGATTAGAATGTGTGGGTTTTGATCGGATGATGTTTCAGGATTAGTTTTGGATTAGTCATTGCCTTGACAACTCAACTATTGTCACTGCCTTCATGATCCATGCATGAACAGCCATCTTGTTTGCTTGAAAATAATTCATATTATTTTGGATGAAATATCCCTTTTTCTTGCCTGCACTTTATTTTTCTTCTTCTATTTCATTGTGGAAAATGCTGGGTTGTCTTTGTTGCAAATCTACATCAAAGTTATTTTTTATTCAGGCTTTGCTGATGTCTTTAATTATTGAGCTTGCACATTAAGGCTATATTTATGCATAAATTATTTTCACCTTTCAGTTATTTTTTATTTTTTCATGAGTTATGTCCGAAGATCATGAAGATTGCCTCCCCTGATCAATATTGTGGCTGTACTATATTATGTAGGCATGGCCGAAATTGGATTCAAATGATTTGAACACAATTATTCATCATATCAACTTACGTTATAACCAGACAATAAGTTAAGTAACAAATCTAAAAAATGAAGATATTTTTCTTATAAGGGTGAAGGTGTAAGGAATGTGGAAATTGGTTGCTCATAATGCTATTGATCAGTTTATGCTGTTCATTTCTGTAATTAATTAATAGTAATTCAGCATATTCATATCCAGTGATGCCAATGTATTCAACATGTTAAAGGCCCCTTACACAATGTGATCTTAGCGCTAAGAAGATCATAGCTCCCACCTCTTACCTGCTGATGTGAACTTGTGATATTGATTGTGCTTAGATCGCTTTGTGGAACAGGGCTGAGGTTTGTGTAAAGCCAAGTATAATCTTATATCATCAGCTGTTAATGCAATTGTATGGTTTTTTTAGCAACTAACGAGAAAGCTTGAGGTGAGTGCTTGTGGTAGAGGGACTCCCTGGGTTTGGGTGAATGTGGAGCAGGAATGGGTTTTGTTCTGGTGATTTGTTGACTCCCTGGGCTTCTAATGCAATGTCAGCTTTCTTACACAGCAGAGGATCACATGAACAATTACATACACAGCAGAGGATCACATGAACAATTACATACACAGTAGAGGATCACATGAACAATTACATACACAGTAGAGGATCACATGAACAATTACATACACAGCAGAGGATCACATGAACAATTACATACACAGCAGAGGATCACATGAACAATTACTTACACAGCAGAGGATCTCATGAACAATTACATACACAGTAGATGATCACGTGAACAATTACATACACAGCAGAGGATCACATGAACAATTACATACACAGCAGGGATCATATGAACAAATACATACACAGTAGAGGATCATATGAACAATTACATACACAGCAGAGGATCACATGAACAATTACATACACAGCAGAGGATCACATGAACAATTACATACACAGTAGAGGATCACATGAACAATTACATACACAGCAGAGAATCACATGAACAATTACATACACAGTAGATGATCACATGAACAATTACATACACAGCAGGGATCATATGAACAATTACATACACAGTAGAGGATCACATGAATAATTACAAACACAGTAGATGATCATATGAACAATTAATTACACAGCAGGAATCATATGAACAATTACTTACACAGCAGAGGATCACATGAACAATTACATACACAGTAGAAGATCACACGAATAATTACATACACAGCAGAGGATCACATGAACAATTACATGCACAGCAGGATCATATGAACAATTACATACACAGTAGAAGATCACATGAACAATTACATACACAGCAGAGGATCACATGAACAATTACATACACAGCAGAGGATCACATGAACAATTACATACACAGCAGAGGATCACATGAACAATTACATACACAGCAGAGGATCACATGAACAATTACATTCACAGCAGGGATCATATGAAAAATTACATACACAGTAGAAGATCACATGAATAATTACATGCACAGCAGAAGATCACATGAACAATTACATACACAGCAGGGATCATATGAACAATTACATACACAGTAGAAGATCACATGAACAATTACATACACAGCAGAGGATCACATGAACAATTACATACACAGCAGGGATCATATGAACAATTACATACACAGCAGGGATCACATTTTCTATAACATACACAGTAGAGGATCACATGAACAATTACATACACAGTAGAAGATCACATGAACAATTACATACACAGCAGGGATCACATGAACAATTACATACACAGCAGAGGATCACATGAACAATTACAAACACAGTAGAGGATCACATGAACAATTACATCCACAGTAGATGATCATATGAACAATTACATACACAGCAGAGGATCACATGAACAATTACAAACACAGTAGAGGATCACATAAACAATTACATCCACAGTAGATGATCATATGAACAATTACATAAGATTACGTTATACATTACATGTACAAATTTTAACCATAAGGCGTCGCTTGTAAAATTACTAAATTTAGCTGCCAGTTATTCCCGGATATTCCCTGATATTCCTATTTGTTTCAACTTGGGTTTGGTATCTCTACTTATTCATCAGGTGATAAATATGCCATGATACACACTGGTTGGATAATGTGAGGCTAGGGTAACTAAGAACATTAAGGATGGCATTAGACACGACCTAACATCCCTCATGCCTAAAACAGGACTTAATGTGTTGCTGAATAATGAGTTTTTGATTTTCCATTTATTCTTTTTGATATCTGAAACTTTCAAATGATTGACAATCATTTAACATTACCAGGACTTATGATTCAGAAACACTTGTTATTCAAATAACTTATACAATCTACCAGTTTGCATCCATAAAAAGTATGGGTACAATGTATTACCGCCAGAATTGCTATAAACAATGAATTTTTATCCATGACTTTTCGGTACATGGGTGGCCTTGGGTGACAGAGTTACATCCCTTGCCAAGCTTCAAAATCCATTTGTCAGTGTCTTTCAACCAAATCGAATTAGGGCACCTTCTCCCATTTGTTTTTCAATTAAGTATAAGAATACAACAAAACACTGAGGCGTTTGAAGATTTATCTAAATAGTCAACATTTTGATAGAGCACTTAACAAGTTGGGTTTGTGTACCATATTTGTGTGTATAGTGCACACTTTTCCCCCAATATACAGCTGTATCGAGGGTAGTGTACATAATACATGCATACAGTGAGGTTTGATTATTTTTCCCAATGCAAAGACATTACCATGTAACACTGGAAATAGCATGTCAACAAATCCGTACTGAAGTATGCAAGTTACTCTTGTTATTAAACTGATAATAAAAGTGTTCAGTGTATTTTCTGGACTTAAGTTTGCAATCTGTTATATTCATTTTATTCAAGATTCATTCAATATTGTTTATGTTAATCTTGGTGAAATTGTGTATGGACTGATTTGTAGTTCACCCTATTATTTACAGCAACCATGATGAGATTAATTCTGTTGATGCCTTTGATGAATCTAAGTTGTTAAAGAATGGAAACATATCATATCATATATCATATTTGCCATACTTTAACTCATTAAAAGTAATATATTATCTGGCAATACACCAAAGTGCTACAGTTATGGTTATTTTTCTTCTAATATTGGTTGTTTAAGTAAAAAAGCAAAATATAAGAATATATTATTTTGGGTAAAAAAAATTAAGTTATGATATTGAGTATTTTATTAACTGAATCAACAGTAGAAAAGGGAGAAAATGTGTGTACAGTTAAAAGCTATTTCTGGCTTATTTTATGAGACATTTACACACAAGTAATCCTAATCCCTGTGTATAAAACAGTGCCTAGCATGCAGTAAATACAATTTAAATTGTAAATCATGTCTTGTGATTTTCATTGACCAAGTTTTTTATGTGCAGTCAGGGGAAATAACCTTGGCAGGCTTTGTTTGATAGGTGGCATTTTAGGTCTCAGCCTACTGTTTCACCTGCAGGTTGTGCAACTCACTTGATGGACAAGTCATCAGTCCTTTTGCTTCATGTCGTAAACCATATAAAAATAAGCTCAGACCTCAAGTATCATGTAAGAACTTTGGAAACAGGAAACAGGCCCCAAGCTAATACTGAACCATAATTTGACACTCAACCCGACGTTGTCAGATGATCCTGACCCGCTCCATTGAACATTCCCACCTCACACTCGCCAGGAGCAGGAGTTAATCTGAAGTCATAGTTTTTGACTTCTCACTGTATACGAAATAGCCATTTCACATGAAATAATTTCCTGCATTATGCTCAAGTGTGCACTATACACAAGAAAATATGATACTTCTGCAGTATATATTATAAGCCTGGCAGCTTTCTAGTTGAGCAGGTGTCTCATCTATGTGGAAGATCTAGTCCAGTTTACTTTACAATTTGTTTGGTAAAATATATTGTACGTATGTAATCAGCCTCCACCCCCAACTGCAGAGCGCTTGTGTGATCAGTACGGGGTATGTCCACCTGTCTGACTGTCCATCTTAGTCCATCTGTCTGTCTCTCCATCCATCTGTATGTCTTTAGAATTTGTCTGTCTCCATCTGTCTCTCGGGGCACGGGTGGCCTAGTCGTCTAAGGCTCCGCGATTCGCTGTGCAGAGTTGTGTCCCGTGGACACACCAGAAACCTATGATTGTGGGTTCGAATCCCGGTTCGCCCCCATTATGTTTCTAGGTTTGTCAGCACCATACCCAGTGTTAGAAATTGGCACTAGTCCTGTAGTCCTTGCCAAACTGCCCAATAGTTAAGGTATCATAAGGACTAGTAGAAATTGGCCATTTTTGAGGGTTTTGCTATATGTTATCATTATAAGGACTAGTAGAGTAAAACTGTTAGTTTCTACCGCTGATACCCGTGCTCGTGGGTTTCACCGAAGTGGTAAACATCTGAGACCTGCATCACTTCGGGCTTTCCTCCCACATTAAGCTGACACGCCGCGATATAACTGCAATACTGTTAAAAGCGGCGTTAAACACAACTCACTCACTCACTCACCGCATCTGTCTCTCAATCCACCTGTCATCTGTTTTGTTCTTTAATTTATCTGTCTGTACCCCATCCACCTCTCAGTCCATCTGCTCGTGGTAGACCGTCCGCCCGGAGAGAGGAAGGTCCGGGGTTCGATCTCCGGCCAGGTCATACCAAATGACGTGAAAAGATGGTACTTGTTGTTACCCTGTCTGGCACTTGGCATTAAGGGGCTAAAACAAGGACTGGTCGGCTGGGGGTCAGTATACTGTGTCTGAGTGGGGTATTTATGTTGAACTGCAGCATGGTTTCTCGGTGAGCTAGCACTATAAATCAGTGACAGTCCGGACTAGTACAAGCAGCCACACAAACACACACACGTACATACACATTGCTATATAAGTGCAGTAATCTTAGACGCAACGTTAAACCTAATTTCACTTTCACCTCAGTCCATCTGTCTATCTGTATCTTTCCATAGGCCTATCTATCCATCTGTCCATCAGTTTGTCTGTCTAGCTATTTATCTGAATGGACTTGAATGAAAATTTGGAGAATATTTCTTCGAACATGTATTCATGCATATCTCCCAAATAGTAAAGTGGCTTTTGAGTTGTTTTACTTGTGTTTTTTAAAACATTCATGGATTCATGTGTGGCTTTGACTCAAGTTCTAGAATGGATGTATGCATTTGTTGATTATTATGAAAGTTGTGGGCGGTGGAGTAGCCTAGTGGTTAAAGCGTTCGCTTGTCATGGGTACGATGTGTGAAGCCCATTTTTGGTGTCTCCCGCCGGGATATTGTTGGAATATTACTAAAAGCGGCGTAAAACCATACTCACTCACCCTGAAAGTCTACACACATGAACCAACCAAGTGTAATGTTTCCCAAATGCAGGGTGGTTTGTTT